TGGGAGACCCGGAAGAGGCCGTTACGCTCACTTGGGGACGTGGGGGGGGGGGGTTCCTCAAAGGTGCAGAAAGGGAGAGAAGCCAACACTGCCCACCTCCGGGGGGAGGGCTCAGCACACGTGGGGAGGCAGCTGAGCTGCAGATGGTCACTCCTCTCTGCCCTGAGGGAGGGAGCAGGTGCCTTTCAGAGCTGGGCCCCCGGAGGAATTCAGGAGTCACCTCAGGAGAGAGGAGGAATCTGGCAGGGGACACAGATCCAGGATGAAGACCTGAGGGCAGAACTCTGAACTGGGTTCTAGGTGACACAGAAAGGTGCAGTTGCAAGGCCATGGAGAACATTCCTTAGGGCAGGGAGGGACCACTGCCCTGTGCAGGCCACCCCTGGGCCCCAGGCAGGACCAGGACAGGACAGGAGGGACCACTGCCCTGCGCAGGCCCCTGGGCCCCAGGCAGGGCCGGGACAGGACAGGAGGGACCGCTGCTGTTAAAAGCTTGTCGCGTGCCACTCAAGCCACGGGCACCCCAGATGCCCTCAGCTGCCTGCAGGCTCCGCTCCAGGCAGGGTTATTTCTCTGTTCTTTTTCTTTAATTTTCCCTTCTGCTACTTTGTTTCTCTAACAGCCAAGTACAAATCACCTTCTTGGGCTGAAGACTACACATCTCTCCTCCACGTTTATGCCCAGTCGTCTCATCTACCACAGTTGTGACTTCTGTATCCATCAAGCCGTGTACACTTTGCCTTCTGTTGAGGGGTTCCGTCTGCAGGTCTGGGCTCTGGCTGCTAAGTGACCGCCAGCTCAGTGCCCACATTTCTTACCTCAGATAATGTCACCACAGCAATCAGAAACTGGCTGTGCTGTGGGGGAGGTGGGTGCTGGAGGCCAATCCGGACTCTCTGCTCCTGGCCACTCCCAACTCCACATTCTTCAAGTCCACTGCCAAAGCCACAGGAATCCCAGCGCCTGGTCATCCAGGGTTTCCCACCAGCCTCTTCCTGCTGCTCACTTCAAGTCCAGTCACGTCCGACCAGGAGTCGGCCTCAGGCTTTTCCCGACCCGGGCTACCCAGCCTTATCATGGGACCCGCCCCAACAGCCTCTTTACAGTAAGCGGTTCCTCCACTTCCTTCTCCCCGGTGGGCCGAGTCAGTCAGACTGTCCCAGTGATAAGGCCACATCTCCAGCTGGAACAAGCAGAACCTTCGTCAGGACTGCTGCTGACGTCACCGGGCGGGAAGCCAGTGGTGCCGGGTGCTGACGTCACTGCTGGGAGGATGAGGTACACTGCACTGATAGCATCCATCTCTACACCACAGGCCTGAGATGAGACGACCACCGGGAAACAGGGAGGGGCAGACCAAGGATGATTCCTGCCTCAGACACAAACACAACCCCCTCTGAAATCAATCCAGCTTGGGTTTGTTGTCTATTAAGTCCTGATCCACCATTTCTCAACTGAAGTGAATTCTCCAAACTCTACTTCTGCAAGTTCTTACACAATTCCCCACTTCATTAAGGTGACAGTTCAAGGGTCTGAGCACAGAACCCTATGGAATCTGCTCCTTGGTTCCTTGACGGCATAAAAACACTGCTGAGTCAAAACACAATCAGCAAAATAAAAAGACAAATCAAACCAGAAAATGATCACAGCGTTCATCAGAGCCAAAACGCATGCATGTTAAGAGTTTCTAAGAAGTGAAACAAAAAACAGAACATCCTTCCAAAAACAATAGCTATGATAAAATAGCTTGCAGAAGAAAAAAAATGTAAACAGCCTTTAAACCTAATATGCACAAACTCACTTATAAAAGGAATGAAAATTAAAACCACAGAAAACATATTTCTATTCACATACAACAAAACCATAAATTCTTATAAAACATTCTGTGGCCAGAGAATTATCCTCAAAACTGCTGGCTATAAGAAACGTGGCACAAGCCTTATGGAGAGGAATTTACTTTTAACCCAGCACTCTGCCAACCTGCAACAAAACACACTGACCAAAATCAAAACTGCAACGTCTAAGCATACTCACTGACTGTAACCGCGAAGCCCAGGCTGCCCAGTGTCCGCCAGCAACGATCTGAGCAAGAGGAATGCTGAGCCCCTCTCCAAACGTTGCTAAGGAGTGGCCTCCAGCTTATAAACAGTAAACATGGGAAACTGCGGCAGATCCCCTACATCAGAAAGCAAGCGGGCATGCGTGTATTGCCACGTGTGGTATCAACATGCGTTTCTGGAAATGCATACACACATCCCCTAACAGTTCACACACAGGCACATCCACAAACAAAACGCACAGCATGTCCGTTTACACTTTCAAAAAGAATCAACAAAGAGAAGTTAAGAGACAGAAAGCCGGGGCGGGGGACAGTTCTTCTATCTGCTGGTTCATTTCCCAAATGCTGCAACAGACGGCTGGGAGTGGGCAGGGGCCAAGCCAGGACCTGGAATGTAATTCAGGCTTCACACATTAAGTGGCCCAAGCACTTGATTACCACTCACCCAGGCTTCCTGCAGCAGGCAATTCCAATGAGGAACCACAACCAGAATCCAGACACTCCGCCATGGGATGCAGGGACTTTAACCAGGGCATCACTGGGAGACCAAAACTCACCCCAGGAAGCAAAACATAAACGACCTAGCTTCTTCAACAAAATCTCAGAGGCCATAAATTTGTTACAAATTAAGGTGCATGAAAGAATGTAATAAAATGTGAAGGTAGTACACCCTTTATGGATTCTAGTTCAAACATACCAAAGATAAAAAAGGATGTTTTTGAGACAACCAGATAAAAACATACATATACGGGGCATGAGATGACATACTTATTATGCATTTTGATGAGTATGATAGTGAGGTTACGTAATTTATTTATTTATTTTCAGATTTATTTGAAAGGCAGAGTTACACAGAGAGGGAGAGAGAAAGCATCTTCCATCCACTGGTTCACTCCCTAAATGGACAGAATGGTCAGGTGTGGTCCAGTCTGAAGCCGGCAGCCAGGACTCCCTCCAAGTCTCCCATGCTGGGCAGCAGGGGCACAAGCGCTCAGGCCATCTCTCCATGCTCTACCAGCTACATGAGCAGACAACTGGATCAAAAGTGCGGTCTCGGGCCAGGCACGGTGGCCTAGTAGCTAAAGTCCTTGCCCCGCACGTGCCGGGACCCCGTATGGGTGCCAGTTCTAATCCTGGTGGTCCTGCTTCCCATCCAGCTCCCTGCTTGTGGCCTGGGAAAGCAGTCGAGGATGGCCAAAGCCTTGGGACCCTGTGCCCACATGGGAGACCCAGAAGAAAGTCCTGGCTTTAGACTGGCTCAGCTCCGGCTGTTGTGGCCACTTGGGGAGTGAATCATTGGATGCAAGAGCTTCCTCTCTGTCTGCAGTCTTGGGGACAGCACGATGTACCAACTGGCTCATTCTCCACCTGCAGGCACCAGCATCTCCACCTGCTGCCACCAGTTCAGGTCCCAGCTGCTCTATTTCCCAGCCAGCTCTCTGCTTATCACCTGGGAAAGAAACAGCAGATGGGCAGAAGCCACGGGATTCCGTACCCACATGGAAGACACGGAAGGCTCCTGGCTCCAGAAGGCTCGGCTCTGGCTGCTGCTGCCTGCGGGGGAACTTCACCAGCGGATGATCCTGCCCTTCTCCCTGTGCATTCTCTGTGAATCTGCCCCTCAAGTAAAAAGTTTTTGGTGCAAACATTTTTGGAACCCATGCAATTTCTTCACTGTACTCATTTTCCATGACCTTTCTGAAGGCCCAGAGTACCGGCTGGCTAGAAGTTTCCTCAAGCCAAGGGCTTCACTTGCTCGGCAGGCTGAGCTCAGTGACGGACTCAGCGGAGGCCTGGTGCAGGAACTGGCTCCATCTAGGTCGCTGAGCGGCTCACACGAGGCCTGCATCCACAACCCTGTCCCTGGCAGGCTTATTAACATGCCGGGCCTGGCCAGTCAGACTCATTTTCACAGTTGAGTAATCCACTCTGCAACGATCAGCGCTTCCATTTCTGGAACAGCAAAGGGAGGCGACATACCCACCACACTCCTTCAGACAGCCCCATCAACACAGGAGAAAGAGTTAACCAACGGTACCTCCGTCTTCCCACACTCCTCGGGCGGATCCTGGTGTATGCTCATTTGATACTTGGCATATAAAGAAAAGGACTGGCTGAAGGACGACTTGAATTCTGGGTCCTCAAAGGAGACAGGTACTAACCTCACCTTCAGAGCAAGGAAACAGAAGCAGACGCTGTTGAAAGCCCTTCACCGACGGCATGCTTCTGAAGGTGAGGCTAGAGCAGAACCTCCACAAATCCGAAGCTCAGCAGCGGAATCCGTCACTAACGTGGAAACCAGGGGCAGGCTGGCACAGTCACATGGACGCTCACCGAGAGCCAAGGCCATCTGGGTTAGCCACCGACTGTGGCTGTGTGCGCTCCCTAGAGTCGACATCGCTGCTGGGATCACAGCCACTGCTTTCACCTCTGTACTGGCTGCCTGAATCTGAACTTTTCTTCCCTTTTGGGTTTTCTCTGGGTCATATGATTTATAAAATTACAAGCATACAAGGAAGACTTGCGTTGAAGCATTCCACCATCTAGCTTTCCTGCCCCCTCAGCTGTGCCCAGACTGAGTTTAGCTCTCACCACCTTCTTCAACACGTGACTCTCTGACACCAGTAAAACACGCTAACCGTGTGGACAAAGTAAAGACGGCACAGCCTGAGGCTCTTTTCATTATCTTCAGATAAACGTACGCCAACAGTTACTCTTAATAAAGGCAATTTCACGTGACACTTTGTCCACGCTGGAATGATGTATGACTACTCAAAGTGGCACTTTCAGAAAGCTCATGTATTCAGCCCTATCTTTTCGCAGATATGCCTCAAACTGAACATAAGTAATACGTATCACAAGGAAACCAGGATTTCATACAAAGACACCAAATGGAGGGAAGGCTTTGTTTACCCAGAAAAATTACACTTGGCATGCTGACCTGGCTCACAGTTGGTTTGTCAGGTGGGTCCTTGTGCACAACCATCTGGTAACGTTTATAGAGTTGGTAAGACTCCTGAAATGTGGCTTTGAACTGAGAACTTGGGGGAGATGATCTCACCACCCTCACCTTCAGAAGGAGTTAAAAAACAACGTTTGGTAAGTTACTCATTCATTCATTCCACAGTGTATGCATTAATGGCAACTCCCACCATCAAAGCAAGTTTCAATACAAAATTAAACACAACATTTTAACCTTTAAAAAAATCAACAATGAGCAGAATAGATACACTGCCACCCTGAGACTCACTGGAGCCTCTGGATTCTGGCAGCTGCCATGCCTGCAGGCTGGCAGGTGCCACACCCCGGCACTCACACACAACCCTACCTCTAAGCTTTCGTTACATCAAATCCACTCTCAGAAACTGAAAACTGAACATTTTCTGGAACTCTTTCATTCCCCGCACCAGCATGCCCATACCACAGCATGGTAAAGGAAGGCTGGGAAGTCAAATTTCCTTACAATGTCATCCTACTGACCACGCCCATTAATTCTCTTTGACTTACTTTGGTTGCATGTAAGATGAAGACAAATTAAAACCAATAATTATATGTTGCAATGGCTAGAATTTATTTTGGCATTATCTGCTAACCCGTTGATGAGCTAGCAAAGCAGAATAGTGGGACAAAAAAATCAAATGCAACAGCACAGAAACCTAACTGGAAATTTTGTGTACCGTTAACACTCTCCTCCATGGAGGAAGAGTGACACCCAGTGGACAGGGAGTCTCTACACACCCTCCCTGAGCGTCAACATACTGAAACAAAGGGTGGTTGTGTTGTACTGTGCTGTGTGTTGTGTAAGATTGATTTATTTCTCTGATAGTCACAGGAAGAGCTCTTCCATCCAGTGGCTCACTCCCCAGCCTGGCCCAACTACAGGAATTGGAGCTTCACTCAGGTCTCCCACGCAGGCAGGACAGGAAGTGGAGCAGCCAGAACTCAGACCAGCGCCCATATGGAAAGCCAGCATGAGAGGTGGCTTAACCACGCCAAGCTCAGCCCCAGCTGGCTTCTGGAGAGTTCTTATGTGCACTGGGTTCCAGGACAGATTACCATCCAGGATAAAAAGAAGAGCCTTCATGAAATATTCTAATTAAAAATATTTTATGCAGTATGTTCATCTCTTTATAAGTACGGCAGGAGGAAGCTCAGTAATACAATCCGAGCAGCCCACACTGGTAAAGCAGAGCTGAGGCAGCATTTCGGCTGAGCAGCCAGGACGCCGCGTCCCCCAGCGGGGCACCTGGCCTTGACTCGGCACAGTCGTGGGAGTCGGAACAGGGTTCAAGATCCCCGACGGGACACCCTGACGGAGCTCTTGGCTCGGCCTGGCCCAGTGTTGACCACTGCAGGCATGTGCCAAGAGAACCAGCAGAGATTCTCAGCCTCTAGGTAAAAAGCTAGGTCTAACAAACTATGCATATTGTCCTAACATTGAGGACACATTCAAGTTCATTTTTATTACCAGCTCTTTAGTTATAAGTGTTTTAGACGACATTAAATTATAAAATCAAGTGCTGACATTGCTAATCAGGTATAAAAATTCAATAAAATCATACGGCTAATGTTTTAGGCTGGAAGTCTATATTTTCTACAACCTAATACTGAAAATCTGAATTTGATCCAGGAATATAAATCAAGGTGAGTGGAGTTTAGTTCCAAAGCATCCACGGTGCTTGGACGGTTCGGGGCCACTCCTGAGAGAGGACTGCAGGAGCAATGTGCATTTACTTTCGAACTCCTGGCTTCCCTGTGTGACGTGTGCCTGTCCTGGATGACAATGAATAAACATCTGCCAACTGGGACTGTTCTGTTTTACTGTTAAAATGATCTTTTTACTATCCAAATTTCAAAAATAAAATTTTAAGCAGTATTTTTCATTTCAAGCATTAAAGATCAACCAAGGGACACAAAAAGCCAGAGCATCCAGTTAAGCAACACGTCAAGCCTGCCACTGCTTTCACAACTTCAGCAGCCAACTATTCAGTAGCCTATATAGTCTTAGAAATGTTCTAAATAAAAAATGATTTCTTCCAAAATAGCAGTGGGTTTGGGAAATACAAATCCTTCTCTAACTCAGATCTCTTCGGTTTCTTATTATTCAGATAAAGAATCATTAACTGATCACGGTAACTTCAACTGAAACCATGTAACAACAACAACAAAAAGAAAACAAACAGTGACAAACAAAAAGCAAAGTACCTCTAACTTGTGTGATGCATTCTCCGGCAAAGATTCAAAGATGAGCTCTTCAAGGGACTTGGGCTGGTTGGACTTGGCCTTGGGCGGCTGACCGTGGGCCTGGAAGCCCTCTGCGCACGGGCCTCGCTGCAGCAGTTTTAACCTTTTCCTTTCTTTCCGGATTTCCTTCGCTTTTCGACATGGAGGCTTACTCAAATCAGCCCCTCTGCCTGAAAAGGATTTTACCACATTAATCCAACCACGTTTCATTTTAGACTTATTTTCTCAAAAGCCCCGAGCTTCTACACAATGAATGCCGAGTCCCAACAGTGCATCGAGCTTGGGGGGAGGGACGGGGGCTGTTTCAACACAATAAAGCATTAGAATTTCACCGTCAGAGATGTGCCTGCACGGTGGTGCAGCACACTAATTCTTCACCTGTGAGCCTCAGCAGCCCATTCGGCGCCGGTTCATATCCCAGCTGCTCCACTTCCCATCCAGCTCCCTATCTGTGGCCTGAGAAAGCAGTAAAGGACGGTCCAAAGCCTCAGGACTGGAAAAGGCTCCTGGTTTCAGACCGGCTCAGCTCCGGCCACTTGGTGATGAACCAGCAGATGGAAGATCTTTCTGTCTCTCCTTCTCTCCATAAAAATATATCTTTCCAATAAAAATCATCTTTTTAAAAAAATTTATTACAAAAAAATCTGAATTCCAAGCATAGTTTCCTTACAATAGGCACCGCCCACAATATTTTATGAGAGCCCCCTTATATGCACACATTTCAAAATTTTTCACATAAAAAAATCTCTTAATTCCACTTTTCTCCAAACTTTGTGAAGTACTTTGCAAACAGCAAGATACGTAGGCACACTCCAGGGAGGTACTGATGGTGTGGCACTCTCCTACAGCTCAGCAAACACTACTCTAAATTCTTTATAAAGTTAGTTTTTTTTTTTTTAATTATTTTTTAAAGTTAGTTTTTAAGCTCCCAAAACACACTATTCACAAGTCATATAAAACTCAGCAGTAGGAAAGTCAAGTTGGTTTTATAGAGAAGAAAATGAGGGTCTAGAGTGACTTGCCAGAAATCAAGGGAGGTGAAGCGTATGAAAAAGCAGTGACTTCACCAACAACGAGACCACACTGTAACTTCACTAAGCAAACTTTCTAACGGAAACAAAGCTCACCTGTCAAAAAGAGTTTTGGGCTAAGTCTGAACCAGCCAGGAGAAACCAGTTCTGCAACTGACCCTTATTCTATTGCCTCACCAGGCTAGGGACCCTCTCTCTTCTGCAGTCCGTCCCAAAGCATGCTGCCAGAGATCCTGGAGCAGCTCCAGCCCGCAGGTGGATCACCCACGGAGCTTCCAGGTGTGCAGGAGAGGGACAAGCATCAGGCCTATCCATGGACTTGCTGTGGGGTTTGGTGTGTTAACGCTTGCGCAGCTGTAACGTAGCTGCGACCACACAATTCAAGTTATCTATTGTTACTACCTATTATATGCATCACCAACATCCAGAACAAACCTTTACCTACACAGGCATCCCGTAAGGAATAATGGAAAACACAACCCCTAAAATTTCCAAACATGGAAAACTTGAAAATGAAATGGAGTGACCTGAGACACACGAGTCACAGGACATTCTGAAAGGCCACTTCAGTTGTCTCCACACTAGAGAACTCACTCGAGGGAGCACTCACTGTCACAGTTATCCCCGCATCACTGCCGGACTACCGACCACGACGGACTCCCATCCGTTGGTAAGATCTCAGCTTGCTTAGGGCCTGCAGATTCTGCAGAGCCATACATTCCTTTGGCTGGACAAAACGAGACCATGGCTACAGAATCAGCCTGCCACACCAAGCCCCTGCCTGGAAGTTCCAAAGAAATCAGCAGTTCTAGATTAGCCCCTAATTGGAATAGACACAGACAGACCTGCTATTTTCTATTATATTTTCTAAGATGATTGAAAGCAAAATGGAAATGCAGGTCTCAAAAAAGGAAAAATTCTTGGGATTTAAAACAATCCTACATTCCCAATGAGAGATACAATAAGGGAAAAAAACTGCCCAGAAAAAAAAAATTTTTAAAGTTTCAGTAATTATACTGCTAGCAGTAAGATTTTCCTCTAAATATGCTGTGTGAGATAATACAAATAGGTACTTATGTAATATAATAATTTCAGTCAACATCCCCCAATGTCTTCAACAACGTTTCTCAATGCAAAAGGCAAAAACAAAAACAAGAAAATAAATGGACTAGATCTGAAATTGGAATGGAGGTAGCAGTATCAACTTAGTACTTAAGTCTGTTCACCAAAATAACCGAGAGAACAAGCAGCAAAAGCACTTGTTCACACATCAGCCTGTCTTCTCTAAATCCATGTCCCACCGGGAGGAACCACAGAGCCCTGAAGAAACGTCACAACGAGACGAACCCCACCAGCATACCCGATGGCAAGGAAGCTGGCAGACTATTGGGAACACACCAACAGACCCAGACGCCACCTTGAAGCAGCTTCTACAGGTGCAATGGGCTGCAACCCAGCAAACAGAGACAGCAAACCAACCCAACTGGCGCTTTCAACTGTTATTTTGAGAAACAGCAAATAGAACAGAAAATACAGGAGTTTATTGTGCCTTTTCTGTTTTAATGAAGACAAACAAATGAAGGGAACTTTCCCTTTTTGGAAGTATCCCAGGGAATGACTGAATAATGAGTGACAGCATAAGAACAGGCAAGGAAGACCGCTCACACACTGAGAATCAGTGAGCAACCCACACAGAAACAACAGCCAGGCAGTGTGTCCCCAGAAAAGCAGGCGCTCACACAAGCGACCTCCACTCTTCAAGGAATCATTCAAACCTGAATCTGATTAAGATTCGCCTCCCTCAAACACAAAAGAAAGTTTAGGCTTCAATCTGATGGAGACTGTAAACTACAACATCAATTTACAGCCTGGAGGGGGAACAGGCTAACCTACAACTGCAGACACAATCAGGCAGCCACAGGAAGCAAAAGGACAACTCACTTCTCTAACAAGCAAATGGCAAATAAAATAAAAAAGGAGTAAGAGGAGTGAGAGACATGGAGCCAATGCAAGAGATGGACAAAATCTAGTTTCTCACATAAACAAATGCTGAAAAGTCAGTAGGTGAACACTGAATATTCAATGATATTAAGCAATTTTATTTAGGTAATAATAGTAGTGTGTGTGTGTGTGTGTGTGTGTGTGTGTTTTAACATACTTTTAAGAGACAACATCTCGGGGGATGGCATTGTACAGTAGCAGCGGAGCTGCTACCTGGGCCGCCAGCATTCCACATGGACGCCGGTTCAAGTCCCGGCTGCTCCCCTTCCAATCTAGCTACTGCTACTGCACATGGGGAAGCAATGGAAGATGGTCGAAGTGCTTGGAACCCTGCCACCCCCAAGGGAGACCCAGAGAAGCCCCCAGCTCCTGCCTTTGGCCTCGCCAGCCCCTACTACTGTGGCTATGTGGGGAGTAAACCAGCAATAATCTCTCTCCCCTCTCTCTGTAACTCAGATTTTCAAATAGATAAATCTTCAAAAAATGTATACGTATTCTGAAGCACAGGATGGCATAGCACTTGCACTTGCACTTTGCTCCCGTCACACAGGGGAATTAGCACAGGCACAGGTGATACAAGAGCTGTCATCATTGGTCAGTAACTGCTTCAAATGAAGAAAGCGCACATGGAAGATAACTACACTCTGAATCTAACTTAAATATGTTTAAAATGTTCCATAATAAAAATTTCTTTACAAATAAAAAATTTTCTAATAAAAATTTTAAAGATTGAATCCCATTACCAAAGAAGGCTTAAAGATTAATTCAAAACATTTTATTGGACAATTCTTACTAACGAGGATAAAAATCTCCTATCATCAATTTAAAAATCATTGAAAATCTTATTTAAAAATTCAAAGAGAAATGGCAAATTGTCTGTGCTTTAGCTTGCATGGCTTCATTTGGACATGGACACCACACTTGTACTAAATCCTTTGGGTCATTCCAAGCAAGTAAAACTGAAAGCTAGTCAAGATCTGAGGAATGCTGACTGTCCCCAGGGGTCAGATGATCCCCAGGGCGTAACAAGCCTGCCGAGTGACAGCTACGTTTTTGTCTCATTCTTTTGTGAGAATACAGAAAAAGTTCCCTTGTCGAGGAAAAATGAGAACAAAATCTGCATCCCTTTCCATCCTTACAACTCTATAAAGAAATCCTTACAACTCTATAAAGAAATGATAATCTGAAAAATTTTATAATTGCTATATTTAGACATAATATATATAATTTATTTTGTCTCAATACTGAAAATTAAAGTGTTTATCAACCTATTTTTTCACTGACCAAAAGCTGACAGAGGTCTATGGCAGTAAAGCAATGGAATTACTGTGATATCTGTGTTTGGGGCGATGACAAGGCTACAGCTCCAGTCTCCCCAAGCAGAGCAGGTTGCAAAGAGCCGAGCCATCCATGCAGGCAGTAAGCTGTGTCACACAGGCTTGCCAAAGGCAGGGCCCAGGCAGGGCATGCTGAGCAGGGAGGTAATCGTGTCACTGAGCTGACCGCACACCCTCCTCACCTGGCTTAGGAGCCATGTGAACTTTCCCTAGATGGGACGGTTCACCTGAGCCCAACTTCTCCTCGATGTCCTGTGGCTGAATTAATTCATTGGAGTCTTCTTTCTTGGCACTTTTTCCCTTCTCTTCACTCTCTAGGCTCTGTCTGAAGTCATCAGTAATTGTTCTGTCACACTTTATATCCAATTTGTTGATTAATGCAAAGTCACCAGCAACAGCATCCTCCATTGTAGAATCCATGGGCTCGTCTGCAAGTCAGAACAAAGTCCATCAGCAAAGTGGTTTGACACAGTTAAGACAAACACAGGAGCAGCCCAGAATGCAGCACCTACCAGCGAATGCAGAGGCGGGACAGGCCATGCCAGACTGGGCAACAGCATCCATTGGCATATACAAGACCCAAGGCCAGGAGAAAATCTGGTTGGGGCTGTGGAGGCTCTCCTACTTAGCCACTGCTCACACTGCTCACACTGAGAGCTGGGATTGGGGCAGACTGTGTTGGACAGAGCAGCAACAACCATCAGCCTACATGTGACCTAAGTCTGGGGGAAGACCAGGCTAGGCTAGGCTACTGCTATCACTGGTACATGCAAGGGCCAGGATAAATGCCAACGGGGTGCCAAGACAGGGTGCCAAGTCATGTCAGACTGACTGTAGTACCCCCTGGAAAATGTAAGATCTGGGACTGGAAATGGGCCTACTGGAGAAACAGTGGGCACTCCCTTGCTGGGCTGCAGTTCCTTCTGGTGTGCATGAGAGCCAGGTCTGGGGATGGGCAGACTGGACGAGGCAGCAGCATTGGCCAACACATGTGTGGATTGGGTCACGGAGTGGCCTTAGCTCCCCTGAACTAAGCTGCAACACCCACAGGTATATATGAGCCCAACTGGGATGTGGCACAGACTGAACAGTCTAATTTGCTACAAATATTGTCATGCACAAGAAATGGGGCTGGGGGGAGGCCTGGTGGGGATTATTGGGGGCCACCTCCACTAGGCTGCAGTTCCCGCTGGTGTGCACAAGGGCCAGGTCTATGGCAAGTTGAGCTGGGCTTGGCCCCCAGCTTGCTGGGCTGGGCTGGGGAAGGAACTGCCCAAGCCACTATGATCACCAGTTTGTGCAGAGGTTGATGCAGGTGACAGACCGAACCGGACCCTGCAGTCCTGGCACATATGAGTCAGGTCTAGGGTCATTCCAGGTAAGATTTTTTTAGGGGACTTCAACTGGACCACTGGATTCAAAACTCAGGCCACAGGAAAAAAATCATAGGATTTGTGGTCTGACCTTGGAGACTGAGTCTCCTCGATTGCTGATGTCTATGCAGTGGAGGCACGCCCAGGTGCACAGGAGGACACGATGGCCAGCCCATTTAGGCCCTCAGAGACTGCCGAGTGCCATGTAAGAAAGAGAGCAGAAAGGTTGGGCGACTTTTCCTGGCAAAGCTCTGCCAGCAAGTGCCTAGGTAAGTGGATGCACTGGGATGGACTCAGTCAGCCAATGGACCCTGCAAGGATTTTTCAACCTTGAAGTAATGAAACCAACTGCATTTCAGAACTGCCAAAACCACTCAGCAACACCCTCAGAACATTCCCATCCACATGAGGGTTTCTAAGAAGACATCAAGTGGACATCCCATCCCCTGGAACTGGTGTAGTTTGGCACAATCCCCTTAGAACAATCCCCTCCCTCTTCTCTTGTCCCCCTCCAACCTCCAATATAGAGAAAAGAAAGAAAAGAAAAACTGGTAGCACTGGTCCCAACCTCCTTCCCCCCATCTCTACCCTTCCATCCTAATCAGTGGTCTTCACGCGTATGTATTCTTGTCAACTATGGAAATAACATCAAAAATAAAGTAAAAGTTTAAAAAGACAAGCAGAAGAACACACTGGCCCCCTTATCCACTGTGGCAGGAACTACTGTGTGTTCACCAAGTCTGCCATCTCATCTCCCAGCCAGAGCTGCACTTAAAGAGCGCTGAGACATCGCCTACTCTGCACTCCCCTTGGCTGTGTGCCTCCTGTCCACTCTAACAGAGTCTCCTGTCTCTCTCTCTAACAGAGTACACGCCGTCCACACCAGAGGGTCTTGGGCAGGGCTGCCAGCATAGAGCCAGGATGACCGGTCCTCTGGACCACACTGAACAATCTCTCCGCACACCACAGGACAGAGACTAAGACGAGAGCACCCATTAGCAGCTCTGCCCATGGGTCAGCTCTGAGGAAACACAGGGATATCTTTCATCTGCACTCATGCTAGCCCCACTAGTTCATGGGTGACTTCTTCTCTTGAGTGGAGAATGTTAAAGTTGCTAGGTAGACATGAGCCTATGTGTGTGTGAGGGGCAGAAAAATAATGGCCAGTTCTGTGCGCCGGAAGAAGGAAGCGAGCCTCAGGAGCAAAGCAGCATTTACATCGCAAAGACTTGCCACTGTCAAAAAGCCTAGGTAAGGGAGAGGTCACAGCCCTCTCCTGCGGGCAGCACTGGGGTGTCGCAGCTGCCCTCAACCAAGCAAGATTCCACACAGAAAGTTCTCCATCCAGCAATGTTCCGGAAAGGGCAAAGGGGAAGGAGAGAAGCTCCACACCCAACACCCACAGCAATGCCTCTCTGAACGCACTGGACTCTCCGTGCTCCAAGACACCAGTATGCTCTGGCAGGTACACTCCTTGTCAGTTCCTGTCATCATCATGAGTTTAAATAAGCAACAGTAACAAACAAACAAAAAGGCATGCCGGTGGTTCTCTCAGAGGAATCAGATCACCAAACACCAGTGAACTGACTAAACTCTGCTAATGGAATATGACAGTCAGTAAGTCCAATGTGCTTCACTTACTGGAAATCCACGACCCTAAACTACCACTCTGATCCCACTGGCTGGCTCTGGAAGCATCAAGAGCGAACCTGGACAATACATGATAAAATAAAGTCCCAGGGCGAGAGATATGGCGCAGTGCCAGCATCGCATGAGAGTACAAGTTCAAGTCCCGGTTGTTGCACTTCCCATCCAGCTCCAATCTAATGGCCCGGGAAAGTAGCAGGCAATGATCCAAGTCCTTGGACCCCTGCACCCACGTGGAGACCTGGATGAAGCTCTAGGCTCCGCTCCAGCCACTGCAATCATTTTGGGAGTGAACCAGTGGATGGAAGTTTCTCTCACCTGCACGATCTCTCTCTCTCTAACTTTGCCTTTCAAAAGAAGAGTTTCCCAGTTGCTGTGGGGAGCATGGCGAGCACAGCTGTGCACCAGTGTAGAACCGACTCCCTGGACTGTCCTGCAATGATGGAAACTGACTCCCATCCAGTGTCAGGTGTCATAGTCTGGTGTCTGTCACAGCCATTTAGTGAGCACAACACTCCTACGGATTCCAGACACTTGCCACACATGGGACAAAGAGCCAACTCTAAGAGCTATATAAAAAGACAGGTAACAGTCAATTTACAAATAAGCGGCAACCTCACAGATTTATCTGCATATTAATTTTCAAAACTCAGAACATGACCGCAGGATACCAGGAAAAAACTTCATCCTGGTGAGCTAAGCTACTTATTCTCTAAGATTACAGACGCATAATGCTACCCCAGAGCTGCACCAAAATGCTAGCGCTTCCAGGGCATGCAGTGGCCCTTCGTTCCAACCCTGAATGCTGCCAAATCTGCCCCTACTCTTCCTGCACCCTGGTTCACTCAGGCTCTAGGCCAGGGTCAAGAGCTTGGCTGTCCTGCAGACTCTGTCCAGCGTTTCAAACTGGAACTTGCAGGATTCAACTCCACCTTTGGAATCACATGAGGAGCTGAGACTGGCTGGCAGGTTTCCCAGAGGAAGCATTTCCTGCTGCAGCGGTGACAGAGTTCCAAGAACACTCATGCTCGTGTGGCAGGCACCTGCCTTGAGCAAAACTTTCAGAAAACACAAAAGTGAAAAAACTACCAAAACTGAAAAAGTAATGCATCTGTAACCAGGGCAAGTAAAGGCTACTCATTATCGTTCAGCAAAGTTACCCACAATTCAAACAAATAAATTCAGAGTATATAATTTACTGAAGCAAAGCCTGACTCAAACAGTGAAAAGCTGACTCTACTGACTTTTCTGAATGACTTACAAGCTCTAGAGGCAATCCCACTTGCTCTTTAACGTACAAGCACAACAGGAGCTGGTGCACCGAGCTGTTGGCGAGTCCTGAGCACCAAACAGGAAGTGAATGTGACTTTACAATCACCCTCCACTTCTGTTCAAGCTGGACTGTCTCAGCACACATTCTCCACAGCAGGGACGCCATGGCTGGCAGCAGCAGCAATGGCAATGCCAGCCACTGTCGCCTTTGTCACAGCAATGCCTGGTGGACGAACCCCTCCGGCTTGGCGCTTTGGATATTTGAAGGTGGGAACGCTCACAAGAGACATCAACTTGAAACACTGTTTGGGCCAGGATTCCACTCACCCTCGCAGTTTCCTCTGGAAATCTCCCCTTTCGCCAGGAATTTCAACATTTTTTTCAAAACCTTCTTGTGAGATTTTGATGGCTGAAACTGCAAAGGCCGGCACCTACGGAAGCAAAATAAATATTTCAAGAGTGAACTCCAAGTGTGAGGAAACAGAGCCCGCTCTGGACAGTGTCTGCTGCCCAGCAGCGACCCTCGCGCCGGCATCTCTGGCAAAGACACGACTTAAAGCAACTTCTGCTTCCACTCCAAATCCCATTAAAATGACGGGGAATTTTTTTTTAAAAGAAAAACACACAAATCATAGGAAAAGGAGAGAAACGTCAGTAGCTGGAAATGTATGTACAACTGGTAACGGACTTGGCGGCTCCAACAAAGCTGAATCCTAGGCTGAAAGCATGTCCAGGGCTCTCTCCATCAGCCCCAAGTCCAGGGACTGGGACTACCAGGACTCCTCCAAAGTCTGTGTTCAAAGGAGTTAGTTCAGATTCCCCTCTCTGCTCTGCAGAAATGCCTCCCTATGAGCTTAGCTTTGTGGGAAAAGCAAGCAACAGGGTCTCTTCCACGGCCGCAGTAGAGCTGATGAACACAGGACACACACAGCGGAAGTCTGCACACTGAACGTGAAGACCTCCAACCTGCTTCCCCAATCCAGCCCAAACACACCACAGCACACGATTCTGCTTTTCTCCAGAGCTTCATCAGACCCCAAAACACAGTAGGGACTCCCCAACAAAACCACCTCACTAGATAACTCCACCTAAAGCCTCAGCAAAGAACCCAGTAAGGGCTGGTGTCGCAGAGCAGTAAGCCTCCACCTGCAGTGCCAGTATTCTCATATGCGTGCCAGGTCAAGTCCCAGCTGCTCTACTTCTGATCCAGCTCCCTACCAATGTGCCTGGGAAGGCAGAAGACAGCCCAAGTCCCCAGGACCCTGTACCCACAGGGGAGACCAGAAGATGCTCCAGGCTCCTAGCTTCAGACTGGACCAGCTCTGGCCATTGCAGACATTTAGGGAGTGAATCAACAGATGTAAGACGTTATTATTGTAAATCTGCCTTTCAAATAAAAACAAATCTTTTAAAAAGCAAGAGAAGTGAGCACACAGGACTTGCAGACATTTGAAGAAGGCCCTTCAAGCTAACATGAGCACTAAACAGACCAGAGAAATAACCTGCGAACACACAGGCTGTGCAGAAAGAACATGACCTTAAAAAACATTCTCACATGGGAACCGGCACCGTGGCCTAGCAGCTAAAGTCCTCCCCTTGAACGCGCCGGGATCCTATATGGGCGCCGGTTCTAATCCCGGCAGCCCCACTTCCCTTCCAGCTCCCTGCCTGTGGCCTGGGAAAGCAGTCGAGGACGGCCCAAAGCTTTGGGACCCTGCAGCTGTGTGGGAGACCCGGAAGAAGTTCCTGGCTCCTGGCTTCGGACCAGCATAGCATCGGCCGTTGCGGTCACTTGGGGAGTGACTCATCGGACAGAAGATCTTTCTCTCTGTCTTTCCTCCTCTCTGTATATCTGACTTTCCAATAAATAAATAAATCTTATAAAAAATTCTCACAGCAATTTTTAAATTAATACACTCATAAAATAGAAGTTATCCAAAAAAAAGTCCAAGAACAAAATGCCTCACAATTAAAAACTAGAAGAAGAAATAAAGATTTGGACAATGAAATTAACAAAATCTCCAAGAATACTCAGTGAAAAGAGAAAACTGAAAAGAAAAAAAGTAGGGACTGGTGCATTGTTTCAACCGGCTGATCTTCCACGTCTAAACACTGAGATCCCATTCGGGCGCTGGTTCATGTCCCAGATGTTCCACTTCCCATCCTTATGGCTTGGATGTTCCCAGCTCCCTCCTTATGGCCTGGGAAAGCAGTGGAGGGCTGCCCATGGTCTTGGGGATCCTGCACCCGTGTAGGAGACCTGAACCTGGAAGAAGCTCCTGGCCTTCAGCTCTGACCAGTAGAGCTCCAACCGCTGTGGCCATTTGGGGAGTGAACCAGCAGATGGAAGATCTTTCTCTGTCTCTCCTTCTCTCTGAGAGTCTGCCTTTCCAATAAAAACAAATGACATTTTAAAAAAAAAATCGAAAAAAGCAGAGGACCAGTCTATTTTCGCTGAATTAGAACATTCTCAGAGGTTGGCGTTGCGGCACAGAGGGCTGGTCAACGCTTAGCATCCTGTATCCGTGTGCCAGCTCAAGGCCCAGCTACACTGCTTCCACTTCCTCATGGCCTACGCCTGTCACCCACATGGGAGACCAGAACACGTGCCTGGCTCCTGGATTCAGACTGTCCCAGCCCCGATGACTGCAGGCATGTGGGAAGTGAACTAGCAAATGGAAGGTCTCTATGTCTCTTCCTTTTCATCATTTGGCCTTTCAAATACATAAATAGATCTTCCTAAAAAAAATCCAGATGTGCAAAATTTCAAAACCATTTGTTCATGTATTTTTTCTCAGAAAGCTACTAGAAGATGTGCTTCACTGGAACAGAGAAGAGTAAGAAGGAAGGTACCAGTGGACAGGATTCAAGAGATGAGCCAAAGAGAACGCCAAGGATGCGGGCCACAGAGACCCCAGGACGACGGGCTGCATCAGGTGGGGTGCAGGTCGGAAGGTGTCGGGGAGTTTTCTAACAGTCCTGACACATCTAAACCATTCAGAGCCAACCAACCAGTGAACTCAACTGTGTGCAGAACTTAGACTCAGCTATCTGCATACACCTGCACTGAAGACAGACACGCACGTTAAAGCACTCCCCACATTTTCTGCCAACCGCCACACACACACAAACAAGGAAAGATGATCTTTATAATCTGAAAAAGAGGGGAAAATTCTATGCTATGGTCTGCCAAGAGGTACAAAGTCCTATAGATTACAAAAAACCAAGCAAAACTTTGTCGAAATACAGACTTTTTGGGTTAAATTTTCCAGCTCAGAAAAGCAGGTTTGTGGCAGATGCAGTCTTTGCCTCCCTCCCATGGAGTGCTCTAAGCGGCCCTGAGCATTCCTTGAATACTAAACTGTGCCAAGTGCTAATGCTGATTGCCAAAAGCAACTTGAAAGATCACCAATGTTCACAGCATCTCCCTGACCAAACTGCTAAGTCAGTGTTTTTATATATTCAAATTACAACCAACAATGTATTTTTTAACGATTTATTCAATGAAAGGCAGAATTACACTGAGAGGGACAGAGATCTTCCCCCACTGGGTCATTCTCTAAGTGACCTCAACGGCAGGAGCTGGGCCCATCTGAAGCCCAGAGCCTGGAGCTTCTTCTGGGTCTTCCACGTGGGAACAGCAGCCCAAGGTCTTGAGCCATTTACCACTGTTTTTCCAGGCCATTCGGAGAGAGCTGAATGGGAAGTGGAGCAGCCAGGACTCGAACTGGTGCCCATATGGAATGCGTACAATGTTATAACGCTGGCCCCAGAACCAACAATATTATTAAAACTATTCATCAGTATGGAACACGATACTGATACACAGAAACGACAATCCTTGATTTTCCTTAAAGAAAGGCTACCTAAAGTATAAATTAGCATTTTCTAAAAATGCTTAACAGCCTACTACTAACATACTTGCATAGTCTCTTGGCATTATAGATCTTATTGCTAGGATCTAGGATCTAAAATTCTTACCTTATTGTGTACTGAGGACAACAGGTTTGATTCATGACAGGTTTGTACACATATTTCCCACTTCTGAAAGTATAAAACAGGTGGTTAATTTCTTTCACATTTTTTACATGTACCAACATAGATATGTACAGGAATGTTAAGATTAAAATAAATAAATACTATCATGTACTGCATTTCGGTTTAATTGCTCTTCTCAATTAGATAATCTTGTAAGTGGGCACACCAGGACCAGTGCTTTGTTCCCAAACCCCTTATAGGATGAATCCTTCAGATCTGCATGCTCTCTGTGGCTCCACTGCTCCCAACACAGGGGCAGGTCCCCACCCGCAGGCATACTGACACGCCACCTGTAACAACCTACAGATGGGATCTGGAGTGGGCAGGACAAGCGGCCAAAGAGACCGGCCGGCTGAGTAACCACTGCAGCACAGCCCTCATGAAACTCCCCATCTCTGCACATATTTCAAACTTTCCTCCGAAATAATTTTGAAAAGAGAATGAAATCACTACACACGAATGATTGTCGCAGAGCTGTCCTGCATCCTCTTTGCAACCCTCTCCTCCGGCAGACAGAGCCGGCAGTGTCCTGCACAGGAGCTTGGCCTACCTGCGCCATCCTCGGTCTATGAGGTCCTGGTAGTCCTGCACAGTCAGGGAGTGCGCCCACATGCCTGCAAAACAAGGCACCTGTGAGGCACGGCCACTGGCACCCTCCTCCTTCAACATCACAGCATCATCTTTCAAGCATGCTCCCATGACATTCACAGCAGAAACACAAAGACACAGCATACACTTCACACAACACACATCAAAACGTCACCTGCGAGAGAGGGAGAGGGTTCTCAAATGCCTGCCACGGCAGAACGTGGGCCAAGGCCAAGCCAGGAAGGCCACCCACTTGTCCCAGTGCAGCAGCAGGAACCAACCACCTGGTCCCCAGCACTGACTCTGGCTGTGCCCTGGCAGAAGTGGGGTTCAGGAGCCAAAGATAAGTGATGCAAGGTGTTCCAACAAGGATGCTAACGCTCAATGTCCTGTCCCAACATCAGTTACGTTCAACTGAAGATTAACCAGGAGTCTCCGTGATATTACAAATGGAGGTCCTCCCCACAACTGGATGGCACCACACCTCCAAACTTTAATATCTCCTGTGGTTTAACACATCAAGAAGTTATTACATAAATAGTCAAGCCCACCCACTCACAAATGCATGCTGTGCAGTAAATCCAAGTAAAACAGCAATGGACAGGACTGCCCAGCAGCAGGATTCAGAAAAGGAGCAGGAAGGGGCAGTAGTTGGACAAGCCCTGTCCTGCCCTCTTCCTGGGGGACCGGCAGTGGTGTCCATTACGCCACCTGCATCCTGTTCACCTTCTCCACCCAACCCTACCGGCAGTGGCTTTCTACTTGGCTGACCCCAATAACTGTCCCTTCTACCGAAAGCCTGCTGTCCAATCAAGACACCTGCTTACAGGAAGCCCGCAACATACTGTGGCTAGGCAGACACATCATCAATGACCAAGCCATTCCCCATGTAAACCTTCTTTTAAAGTGGAAAAACACCTCCATTCATACCCTCATGGTCAGCGTGCTTTCCACAACGCTGGCTTAACGCTGTGGCATAGCCAGGTTAGGCTGCTGCCTGAGGGACACGTGTCCAAATGAAGGGCCAGTCCCCGCGCTGCTCCCCTTGCCAGCTGTCGTGCAACCTGGGGGACAGATCAGGGCCAAGGTCTTGGGGACCTGGCACCCGAGTGCGAGACCCAGCTGGGGATCTGTTCTCCGTGCCTTCTCCTGGCCTGGCCCTGCCTGCTGTCGCCATTCAGGAACACCTGTCACTCTGCCTTTCAAATCAACAAACTCTCGGAAAGAAAGTTTACAAATAGGTGTTTATATTAGTGCATGACACAGCAGGAAACGAACACAGTGTTTTATACACAAAACACACGATCTACCCCACTCCACCCACTCCCCAAAAGAAACCTTGTTCATGACAGAAATAAAACCGCGGGCTAGCCCCGCCGCCCTAGCAGTCCGGGGGGAAACGATCCTAAGCTGGCGTCTGGCACAGGGGCGCGCCCCCAGCGACCCTGGCCCGCACTTCACTGGGCGCATCCGGACACCCGCGAGGAAGGGTTGGGGGGTCTCCTGAGGAACGAGACCCTGAGTCCGCGCCGGCCCGCCGGGAACCCGGGGCCAGCCAGCGGCTCCCTCCGGCCGGTCCACCCGGGCCGCCCACGCCCGCAGACCCGGCTCGCTCACCATGGGAGCGACTACCCGACTCGTTCTTGCAATAACCGCAGCGGTAGAAGTCCTCGCCCTCGAAATACTCCACGATACTGGGAGACACCGCCGCACAGGAAGCCATGGTGCCGGTGCGGAGGACGCCCCGCAGCCGGGATCAGCAGCGCCGCCGCCACCCCACAAGGCAGCGCGCCGTCCGGAAGCCTCCGGGGCTCGCGCGAAGCCGCTAGGACGCCCGCGGGCCCGGCTCGGCCCAGCGCCTTTCGCAACTGACGCCGCCGGCGCCATCTTGACCCAGGGCAGCCTCCCGCTATTTCCGTTCCCTCGTTGTGGGGGGCCGCCATCGTCAGTAAGGGTAAGGCGGAGAAAAGGGACGGGAAGGGACACGGGCTGAACGGGGTCGAGTTGCAAGGAGCGGAGAGCGAGGAGGCCGGGCTCACTCGCTCTTCCGTCCGAGCCGGCCTGGGCCGCGGAGGACGTCCGCGGGCGAGGGGCGACGGACGACAGGCCCCGCCGCTCGGGACACTTACCGCAGGACGCCTTGCCCTCCTCCGAGCCACAGTAGCCGCAGTGGTAGCCGGCCTTGAGGCCCTTGTATTCCACCACCGAGGCCATGGCCGCCAGGGTCCACGCGGGCCGGCCACGCCTCTCGGCGTGCGGGGCGACCTCGGCCGAGAGCGAGGGGCGGGCGGACGACGAGATGCCCCGGGGGGTCCCCGCTGTCGCGCCCCGAGCCCGCGTGGGGGCCGGCCGCCGCCACGGCCGCGCGGGCTTAGCCCCATTTCACGGACGAGACGACTGAGACTCGCGGGTTGTGAATTCCCCTGGTGAGTTCGTGCAGGTCTCGCCTTGAGATGGCCCCTCCGGGCCATCTTGTGGGTAACTAGACCTCACTTAACTCCCCGGGGTAACCAGTGCGGAGGCAGGCCTCCCATGACTGCTGAGTTAGCGCCTTGCTTTAAAAGAAATACCATCAGGACCCTAGCAGCCTTCCTCACGGCTTTTAAAGAGAAGCTGCAAATCCTGAATGTGAGAATATTTAATATTATACCAAAATGTTTTTTTTTTTTTCTCCCTGTACCAAACAAACAGTATGTATGAACGTATGTTTGCAGCCACTGTTTTAGAGGCTTGTCTTTTTTTCTTTCTTTTTAATAAAGGCAGATTTACAGAGTAGGAGAGACAAAGATCTTCCATCCACCGTTCGCTCCTCAGATCGCTGCAATGACCAAAACTGAGCTGATTCTGAAGCCAGGAGCTTCTTCGTGGTTTCCCACATGGGTGCAGTTCCCCAAGCAGGGAGCTGGATGGGAAGTGGGGCAGCCAGTACACAAAGCAGTGCTTATAGGGAATGCCAACGCTTGGAGATGGGAGATTAGCCAGTTGAGCCAGTGCACCAGCCCCAGAAGGTATTCCTTAGGAGAATCAGATAAAAAGTATAAAATCGAGGAGCACTGCCAGCAGCGTCATTCATTAACATTTTTTCTTTTTAAAGATTTTTTTAAATTTATTTGAGAGTTACAGAGGTGTGGGTGGAGAGAAACAAAGATCTTGGGCGTTTGTTGCTTCACTTCCCAGATGACTGCCAAACAGCCAGGGCTGGGCCAGGCGGAAGCCACAAGCCAGGATCCTCTTCTGGGTCTCCCACATGGGTGGGGGGATTCAAACACTTGGACCATCTTCTGCGTTTTTTAGGTCATGAGCAGAGAACTGGGTGTGAAGAGAAGCAGCCAGGACTCTGCCTGTATGCAGTGCAGGCCCCGAAGGCAGATTTCCCTGCTGCATCACAGGGCCAGCCCCTCACTTACCCTTCCTAACAGGCTGCGGTATATGAGCCGGGCTGTCATTTTCCCAGTAAGTGACCGCAGTAATAGAAACAAACTTTGGGGTGTGTATGTGTGACAGGTGGACACACACGCACAGCAGCCACTGGGACTCCCTGGATGGGAAGTTGGCCACTGAAGCTTATTCCAGATTTCACCTGGGAGGTGGCAACCTGCCTTAAACGGAAGCTGAAGTAACTGCTGGCCATATCCTCTGCTGTGTCGATGTATCTGGCTATGTTTCTTTGCCAGGGCCGTAGCATTAAGTATTGTTTGTGTCACACTCAGTGCAAAGGAACCAGTGTGGAAAGGTATCAGGGTGTCTAGATTTCTGCGGCATTTGCAGCTTGCTCCGTCTCGGGCTCCATGTTCAGTGCATTCTTCGCCCAGTTCTCAGCCCTCCCCAAGCAGCTTGTCATTTTGAGTGAGAGCAAGGGCTTATGCAATGAAACGAGCAGAATGCCCTAGCTTGCAGAAGATAAGGGGCCAGGAGGCTTTTGGCTCCGTTTGTCCTCCATCTCAGCTATGCACAGTCAACTGGAGTATGTAGACAATACGTGGATGGTTTCAGAAACAATTTCTGCATAGCCTGCCATTCTGATGAAACTCCGTGTCATCCCAGCTTGCACACGAAGCCTCCACTCGCCCACCTGTCCTCACTGCATGCTGCCTGCCCAGCGGGACTCGCAGCTCTGCGGTGCAGCTGCCAGTGCTGGCCTTCTTAGCCCTGACTGGCTAACGCCCCCAGTGCACAGGAATAGCAGTAGTTCTGACAGTTCAGTATACCAAAGACAAAATATTTCCCTTAAGTGAGGTGAACATTTTCTCACCTAATAAGGGGAAGAAAATAGGTCATGCTGAGATTGCTAAGACCTATAGTAAAATATTTTCTTAAAAAACGTTAGCGACTCCTGCCCTAGGAGCCGAGGCCCAATGACCACACGGACAGCGCTGACCCTGTTGGAGAAGAGAGATTCTCTTCCTCTCGTATTCTCTAAAAAAAATAATAAAAAAAAAAAAAAAACAGGTTTATTCATTTGAAAAGAGGGGAGGTCGGTCGGTCTACCATTTGTTGGTTATTCTCAAAATGACCACAGCAACCAGGGCTTTACTCACTCTCCCACGTGGGCGCAGGGGCTCAAGCACTTGGACCAGCCTCTGCTGCTTCCCCAGGCCTCCAGTTTGCCAACTCATGTCAGAGGCATTAGCAGGGAGCTGAATCAGAAGTGGCACAGCCAGGACATAAATGGTGCCTGTATGGCACACCAATGCTGGAGGAGCTTAACTCACTGCACACAGGGCCTGCCCCATAGCATGGAGATCTCATCCAAATAACTAGTGTTATAATTGTCCTGTTAGTGGTATCTGACTATTGATGAAAAGCATTTTATTTATGTGGCTTCATGCTGTATGGTTTCAGGCATCTACTGGAGTCCATATTCCCTGTTGGTAAGGGGTAACTACTGTATTCCTGTCCCACGCTGCTTCTGGTTGGTGTTGAAAGGTTTAAACTCATTCCAAGCCCTAGGAAGAACCTCAGCCAGGATAGTCCAGGATATGCTAACTTGGCCAATAATGAGAATGTCCAAAGTCCTAAGCATGTTAATTCACTGAATTCTTAGAACAGCTTCTCAAGATAGAAAATGTAGACCTGAGACTAAATTGCCCAAAGTCACGCAATAAGTGTCATATAGGTAAAATAAATAAATAAATAAAAAGGAAATTGAGCAAGCAGACACTGCCTTTGGACCTGCGAGGGGCAGCCTCCTGGTGTCTGCATTGCGCTGTCCAACACCCACGTGGGTGGAGGGAGAACCTTGCCACCCATCCCTCTGTGTTTGCGATACAGGCAGCAGACTTGTCTGTGTCCTCTGTTGGTAGGATAGAAGGCTGACAGTCCCATGAGCGGTTCTGTATCACTATAGACAATCACGCCCATCATCCACAATGGGAGGCTCCTGCAGCGCTGGACCTGGCAGATAGGAGGGCTCTGTAGGGGAACGGCAGGCCCAGGACCTATTCCTGAAGGGAGTAAGCGCAAATACCTCCCCCTTGCCCTGCAAAGAAAGCCTCGTGTAGCCGGGAGCCAAGAGAAACCAGAAGCAGGTCCAGGTGCAGAGAGGGCTGCTGGAGCCAGGAGTGGGGTGCACAGAGGAGCACCTGTGGGCGGGGGCGTCTCAGGTGCCAGAGGAGACTGGGCAAACGCTTTCATGTGAGGTCACTCTACTGCCAGGAGGCAAGAGCACTCCTCTGCCCACACCCAGCTTTCCAGACACCAGCCTCATGCACCTGCTGAGCTAATGTGGCTAGTGCAGCTTGGACACGGGGTAGTTTTTACTGAATTAGAATTTGCATCAGGTGGGCTAAATACCCCCCCCACAAAAGTCTCAATATAGGTGTAACATATTCAAACTTCAGGAAATCAAATACTTCAGAAACTGGACATAAGATAAACAGAAAATACATAAAATGTAAAAGAAGAAAATGTTTAAAAAAAAATCTTTCTCCAAAGATAGTCTTCTTCAAAGATGGAAGAGAAATCCTTTCTCAAAGATTTATTTGAAAGGCAGAGTGACATGGGCAAAAGAGAAACGGGAAGAGCTGAGGTTTCTGCAGGCTGCAGCCAGGAGCCCAGAACTCTCCAGAACACCCACAGCAGGAGAAGAGACCCCAGTCCTGAGCCACCCTCAGCAGGTGCTTGGATGGGCAGCTGAGGAGTGTCAGATACGGTATGCTAGCATTGCCGGCAGCAGCTCAAGCCACTGTGTCGCAAAGAGCCACTTTCTCTCCAATTGAAAGGGGTCCATGTTCCCATCAGGAGAAAGGGGATGAAAATGACTTGCCCAGAGGGACAGGGGCACCCATCCTGCCTCTAGGACTAACACACTGGACCTTGGCCTCAGTTCTGTTTGCCATGAAATGAGGAATAAAACTGCTAAGGTTATTTGGGAGATTAAATAAACCATTTACAATCATAGTAAGTGCCAAGTGTATAATAAACTCAACAAATGTTGCCGTGGAAACTAAAAATTTCAAGATGAGATCTGTGGGTCCGGCTTTTTAAGAAACTAGCATTAATATAAAAAACTTTTTTTCCATTTCTGTGTTATATAATCTTTCTTTGGTTGCTAAGGGAAGCCAGAGAAAACAGAATACTTATAACCCAGGTTGCTAAACATAGAAACTGTTTGCTAACTAATCAGATCAACAAATAAGGTCTCCAGGATACCTCAAAGTGCCTGTGCCCTGTCGTAAGTGGCAGATTTCTGGGTGTATGTGTGTGTTTTGCATTAATTTTTTTTTAAATGGTATGAGAAGTTCTCTTTTTTTTTTTTTAAAGATTTATTTTATTTTTATTGGAAAGGTGGATATACAGAGAGGAGAGACAGAGAGGAAGATCTTCCATCTGATGATTCACTCCCCAAGTGAGCGCAACGGCCGATGCTATGCCGATCCGAAGCCAGGAGCCTCCTCCGGGTCTCCCACGCGGGTGCAGGGTCCCAAAGCCTTGGGCCATCCTTGACTGCTTTCCCAGGCCACAGGCAGGGAGCTGGATGGGAAGCGGGGCCGCCGGGATTAGAACCGGCCCCCATGGGATCCTGGGTGTGCAAGGCAAGGACCTTAACCACTGCACCACCGCGCCGGGCCCTTGCATTAATTTTTTTAAAAAAATATATATCCTACTGTTTTATTATCCGTTTAAATATGTAAAACTTTGGCATGAATCATGAAGATAAACAGCACTTGCTGGAAGTTACTGACAGCACATAAATTAAGTCACTCATGACCATAGTCTGAGCAGTTATACTTAACTGCACTTTAGGCTTACCAACTTTGAAACTTTTTCTCATCAAAACTAGGTGCTTTGTTCTACCAGGAGTGGTCTGGGGTTCTTGAGATAGTGAGTCTTCTTCCTCCACAGTTAAAATAAAAGTGCTTCTCCCAGCATCCACTTCAATCCTGAAGGGTCCTGCTGTTCACACTTGGAGCAGGTAGACAAAGCCACATGGAGAAAGAGCCCCAACGGGCCAGGGCTGCTCCCTCATCTTCTACATCAGCCTGGGCCAAACACATTCGAGACTCTCAAACTGCAGTGGACTCCCAGTCCCCACAAGGCAAGATGAAAGTGAGGAATGACAGTCTGCAAGTTCTGGAGCTCCCAACAATGGGATCATAAAGAGCTCCTCACCCAAGTACAAAGGGCGCTGAACCTTTTGTGTAGATGGGCATGAGCAGTGATGACAGGATGGCACTGAACACACTGGGCATGGCCTGTCCCTCCTAGGGTGTGAGCTAGCAAGGGCCACTGTAATCAAAGTTGTCCAAAGGTGGGACCTCACCAGAGACTATGTGGTCTGAGGAAGTCACAGCTGAAACCTTAAAAAACTGTAAACCTGAGTGTGTGTACATGTATGCACACATGGGTAACAGACGGGAAAGCAGGTAAGAACATGCAGGTGGGAAGAGACAGATTCTGAGAAGCCAGCATGGCTCCAGCAGAGGAAGGTGTTTGCAGAAACCATCAGGCCAGTTACTGAGGCCATGCTGGGACCCAAAGTTTTCTCCAGAGCAGCAGGCTACAAGCTGTGACTATAGGGACAGGGCAAAGATAAAGAAGCTTAAGAGTGGACTACAGAGCCCAGCATGGTGGCCTAGCAGCTAAAGCCCTTGTCTTGCATGCACCGGGATCCCATATGGGTGCCGGTTCTACTCCCAGAAGCCCCACTTCCCATCCAGCTCCCTGCCTGTGGCCTAGGAAAGCAGTCAAGGATGGCCCAAAGCCTTGGGACCCTGCACCCGCATGGGAGACCTGGAAGAGGCTACTGGCTTCGGAATGGCACAGCTTTGGCCATTGTGGCCACTATGGGAGTGAATTATCAGACGGAAGATCTTCCTTTCTGTCTCCTTCTCTCTGTATATCTGACTTTCCAATGAAAATAAGTCTGGGCCTGGCACTGTGGCCTAGCAGCTAAAGCCCTCACCTTGAGCGCACCAGGATCCCACATGGGCGCCGGTTCTAATCCTGGCAGCTCCACTTCCCTTCCAGCTCCCTGCTTGTGGCCTGGGAAAGCAGTCGAGGACGGCCCAAAGCCTTGGGACCCTGCACCCGTGTGCAATCCTTGAGGAGGTTCCTGGCTCCTGGCTTCAGATCAGCACAGCTCCAGGTGTTGCAGTCACTTGGGGAGTGAATCATTGGACGGAAGATCTTCCTCCCTGTCTCTCCTCCTCTCTGTATATCTGACTTTTCAATTAAAAATCGATCTTTTGAAAAAAAATTTTAAAAAAGAAAGAAAACTTTAAAAAAAGGTGGATTACAGCTTAATCATTTTTTCAGCCTTACCAGAAAACATAGAAGGGCCTGCTCTGGGCCGGTGCATGGCCTCAGCTGGCTAATCTTCCACCTCCAAGCACTAACATCCCATATGGGCACTGGTTCATATCCAGGCTGCCCCACTTCCCATCCAGCTCCCTGCTTGCGGCCTGGGAAAGCAGTCGAGGTCGGCACAGTCTTGGGACCTACCCTGCAACCCTGAAGGAGACCCAGAGGAAGCTCCAGGTTCCTGGCTATGAATCAGCTCAGCTCTGTCTGTTGCAGTCATTTGGGGAATGGACTAACAGATGGAAGATGATACTCTGTCGCTCCTTCTCTCTGTAAATTTACCTTTCTGATAAAAACAAATCTTAAAAAAGAAAAAAAGAAGTCCCCATTCTGACGAAAGAGCCACCCTGAAGGCAGTCTTGAGTATGCCACCATCTGACAAGTTAACTAGAAAACTGATTTTTCTTCAAGGCTAGCATACTTTTCATTATCAGTGCAGTGATCTCAAATACCTGTTATTTGTAAATAACAAAGTATCAACTGGTTAAACAATTAAGTTAAAGCTTGAACAGTCCAATTGCTGTGTCACCTTCCTAAACTCACTCAGTGCTTTATCATCTCGTAATTCCACATCAGGGAACGAAAGCTCCATGGGTAACACCAGAGCCACGTGGGTCCATCTGGGTGACGATGGGGCGCGTCTGCAGGGAAGCCCAGAAGGCTGGACTGAGCCGGTGTCTCCCCAGCTCTGCTCTCCATTCTAGTCCAAGGCCTCGAGGGAGCTGAGCCTAACACACAGTGACCCAGGGCTCCAAGAATGTGCATTCCAAGCGTCCTGTTGGGAAGGCGGGCTTCTTGTGACTTAGCCTCAGCAGTTCCAGAACATCTGCCATGTCCTGCTGGTCACGGAGGTTACTGTGACCAGCCCAAACTGAAGGGAAAGACTCATCAAGAGAAAAAAGTGAGGGTTGGGGGGAGGGGGCGTTTCACTCTATCACTGATCGATCATTCCTCAAACAGAGCTCATAAAACTACACGATTATCTTCCTGCAGAGCAGCCTACATTCTGCCGGTCCAGAGGGGATCTGGCCTGCAGAGTCCTGGCTCCCTCTGAAGCAGTAAGTCTAGACAGAGGGTGAACATGCTTGAGACAGGCGGGATGCAAACTCATGGTCTTACACTCCCCATGTCATCTAAGATGTAAAGGCATCTCTGTCCTGGCCCCAGATGTGGCCCCTCTGCACCTTGGTGGGGAACAGTGGGAAAGGGGGAGCAGCTGCCAACGCCCAGCTGTGCAGGAGGCCGGTCTACTGAGAAGGGGCAATGGGAGGGCAGCACCCTCTGGGCTCTGCAGGCAGAACACACAGGACAGCACAGCAGGGTCAGCGTGGGAAGCCCAAGCCATCAGGAGGGGTCCAGCCACAGCTGGTGCCCCGCCTGCCAGCAACTGGTTTTGAGGCATGGGTACTGACCTGGTCACGCATTACCTACACAGACAACCACGCCATGTGGTACAACCATCTGTTGACTTGACTAGCTGACTGTATGGCTAGACATGAGAGGACCCACGGGGCACAGGACGGGGCAAAGAAGAGCCATGCTCAGCTGTGAATATGACAGTGAACTATGACAAATTCATTAACTCAAAATCTGTATTCTACAAAAAAAAGTCTTTAAAAACGTTTAATAATACAATATATACAACACATGCTACTTTCCTCTTAGGATTTCATCATCTACTGGAGTCCTAAAAAAAGGGGAGGAGGCAGGGGGAAAAGCTAGTTAGTAGTTTACCAACAACCAGGCCAAGTTCACACAACATACATAAATGAAATCTAACAGGTCACGACCTTCCCAGGAGCAGTGCCAGACAGAGCCACTCTGCACCATCTGAGGTCTGTTCCCCTCTAAAGTCCTCAAAGTATTCTTACAGAAATAAATTATCTGGAACAAAAGTTCAAAAGTCTAAAATATTCTAATCCTCAAAACTCATAGGACATTCCATCTAGAACATTCAACCAGCACTTAGCTGGTTCCCTCTCAACACCCTAACCCCTCATTTTATAGGCAGGCAGAGGGAAGGACCGGGAGTCAGCTCAGATTAAGTGACTTGCCTAAAGCTCGCCCCATCGTCCTCCCCTTCTCTGCTTTGCCCATCTAGCGGGGCGGGCAGCGCTGGGGGGAACCCGTGAACCTCCCTTCTCTAGTTTATCGGCCTGCTCTAGGGAAAGCCACGCCCAGAGCAAACTCCCACGCCACCTCTCTGCCATTGCAGCCAGTCCTGGGACGGGAGCGTCCAACCACTGTCCTGCCTCTGCCATTCTCACCGGCTAACACCAAGCTCTAGCAACGAGGCACTGAGGTTAGGTCCCAGGCAACCAGAGGGGGAACCACCAGCAGACTTTGATGCTGCTGTCCCACACGAGGTGTTACCTTCAGCTCCGGTCAAGTGCTCAGCCTCTGCTGGCTCTGACTGGACGTAATTACGGGCTCAGAAATCTCAAAGGTCCTCACGAGCTCCTGGCAGAGAACAAAGGATGCATGTGTGTGCACTGGGTCAGAGCAGGGGTCAGCAAGCGTCAGAACCATGCAGCAGCAGTCATGTGGGGCCATACCTCCCAGTCTCGGTAACTCAACGCTATAATCCCTTGATTCCTCATTTGGGTATTCTGCTCAATCCCTTCATTGTCTTCATTAGCATTAACAGGTTCTGTGTGAAAGAAAACATTTTCAAAGGTCACCAAATCAGAAAAAGGAACTGGAACAGAAGTTGATGAATGATGGGGATGAAGCCTGTTCCAAGAAAACGCTTCGGCCATCATGTAGTCATTAGGACCTCATGCATCTGAGCACTGTCCTCGGACAGCAGCAGAATGTGTCTCCGTTTTTAAAAAGCACATCGTAGAGAAGCACTACAAGCACCTGGAAACCTCTCCGTATCCAGGGAGGCACTTCAAAAAGTTGGAAATGGAATTCGGTTTATTTTGATACAGGTTTTTGAAGTCCATCTATAGCTTTTTTCTTATTCCACAATTTGGAAGACTCCATGTATGTACCAACTAGAGCTACGCTCTGGTCAATGTCCCATGACACTGGGAGTCTAACGTCACAAGTGTGCAGTGGAGGCACTGCGTTCTCCAGGAGACCTGAGGAGGCCCCAAGGGTGGCAGGTGTGACAGTCGTCAAGGTGGATCAGAGACCCAGGACCTTGGGGGCAGAGCTGGCATCCAGGGAAGGTGGGCAGAAAGAAGCCACCAACACTGGCTGCAATTACAAACTCTGTGAATTAAAACTTAGGGCTAATCTTCACAGCACCTGCAGATACCAGTGACACAGATAAACCCCTGGGAGTTCTAAACTAGGACCCTGTGTCCAGTATTCTCAGGTAGCCGAACAACCTCCAAAGAAAACTCATTTACACTAGTCGAATGACAAATTTTTTCTCCAAAACAAGTTTTCCCAGACACAGTATCATTTACCTATTATTGGCAGTCGGTCTTGGTCAAGTCTTACTCTTGCAAAGCCATCCTAAAACAAAAACATGTTTTTAGAAGAGCAACATTCAGACTGAAAAGCATTAACTGGAGACAGTAAATTACTCCTTGAGCCCGTCCTCCATCTCAGGCCTTAACAATGACAAGGAGCTATAGACCAGCATGTCCTCACAGTGCTTCTTGGGGTTTAATCGCCTGGACTCCAACACAGCCTCCAGGCTAATTCTTTTTAGTCAATTTATTTTATTTGAAAGGGAGAGCTGCTGGTTCACTCCCCAAGTGCCAAAGCTGAGTTGATCCCAAGCCAGGAACAAGAAGCCTCTTCCAGGTCTCCCATGTGGGTGCAGGGGTCTCAGGACTTGAGCCATCCTCCCACTGCTTTCTCAGGCCATAAGCAGGGAGCTTGATTGGGAGTGGAGCAGCTGGGACTAGAACCGGCACCCACGTAGGATGCCACCATCACAAGCAAAAGCTCATGCTAGTATACCACAGTGCCAGAACAATCAAAAACCACTCAACACCATCACCACATTCTCTCCACTGTGGTCTCTAAGGCAACAAGCAAGCACCTCTGGCCCCTGGCACTGACTTAGTCTGACAGCAAGGAGCATTTTTCTCCCACAGTCTCCAACAAAGGAGGGAAAAGGAACCATCTCACACACCTTCCCCTGAACTCCAACCCTCTCTATCCTAACCGAAGGCCCACATGAGCTGCAATCCCCTCACCTCTGCAACAAATATTTTTTAAAAAGACACTAAAAAGCCCCATGCTGAGACTCCCTTAAAAAAACTCCATCTTGTCTTTGGCTGACATACACATATTTTACAACACTCCACGTTTCATTATGCATAATCCTATGACTGAGACCATCATAGAAAAGCACATTTGTTCTCATTTCTCAGAAAATGTGCTTACATAAGAAAAGTTCTTGGGCCTGGCGGCATGGCCTAGTGGCTAAAGTCCTCGCCTTGAACGCACCAGGATCCCATATGGGTGCCGGTTCTAGTCCCGGCAGCTCCACTTCCCATCCAGCTCCCTGCCTGTGGCCTGGGAAAGCAGTCGAGGACAGCCCAAAGCTTTGGGACCCTGCACCCACGTGGGAGACCCGGAAGAAGTTCCTGGCTCCTGGCTTCGGATCGACATAGTATCGGCCGTTGTACTCACTTGGGGAGTGACTCATTGGACAGAAGATCTTCCTCTCTGCCTCTACTCCTTTCTATATATCTGACTTTCCAATAAATAAATAAATCTTAAAAAAAAAAAAGAAAAGTTCTTACATAAAGCCAAAAATCTATCTACTATCTGTAGGGTGCAGGCTGCTGTGTAACTAAAGACTGTGTAAAGCACATTTCCACAGAACAGTTCTGAGGAAGTTATTTAAAAAAAAAAAAAAACTATTTTGAAATTTTTAAACTTTGAGCTACAAGACTACCATAAAGGGGGGCTGGCAATTGATGCAGCAGCTTAAGTTGCTGCTTGGGACTCTGACTGCTCCACTTTGGATCCAGCTCGCTGCTAATAAGCCTGCAAACAACAGAATCGGGTCCAAGCACTTGGGCCCCTGCAGCCCCATGGCAGATACAGAGTTCCCAGCTCCCGGCCCTTTTGGGGAGTAAACCAGCGGATGGAAACCCCCGGCCCCCAAGTTCTGTGTATTTAACTCTTACTGTGCCTTTCAAGTAAATGAGCTAATTACTGTGAAGATCTGCTACCTTTCACTCGTGTCCGTGCAATTCTGTCACATGAACCGTGTCACTATCTCCTAGCTGGGCCGTTAGCCGAAAATGGCACACAGCCCGTCCTCTCTCCGTAATCTTATCAGGCAATTTCTCAAAAATAAGAATATTCTCATTTAACACTCATCACACAGATGTCAAATTTTTATAGTTTCATTCTTAAATTTCACCAACTTTTCTTAAACTCAGGTTGAATCTCTCTTATCTGAAAGGCTTGAGACTGGAAAGTGTTTCTGGCTTGAACTGTTTTTTTCTGCATATACCTAACGACATATCTTAGTTACAGGACATACATCTAAATACCCACTTCATTTCTGCTTCACACACAACCTTATACACCATTTCTAAACTGCTTTACATGAGACAAAGCTTCATGGTGTAGGCATTAAGTCTGCACTCAAGTTTCAGATTTGAGAGCTCTCCAATTCTACATTACAGATCCTTAGCCTATAACTTCTGAAGGCTCAGGGCAAGCCACATTCTCCTGATACACCAGCGTCCCGTGGCCATGGGTCCACGCTCAGTGTGGTTAGTACCAATTGCTCTGCCAGGTCCCGTCCTTCCACCTCACCGCAGATCCTTTGAAAAGCATAAACAGAGCAACCTGAGATGGAATCCTCAGTCTTACCCGTACAATGAAGGAAACGTGAAAGATGTTTTCTACTGTCCGGGGGAAGGAATGTGGATCAATCACAAAATCAAAGAAGGACATTGGAGTGTCGGCTGTGGACAAACGAGAAAACACCCTTCAGCACGGGCACAGGCAGCCTCTGCTCCGCCCAAAGCCAAGGGACCAGTACTCTTCCTGCCGGGCAGTGCCCTCAGTGCAGCTCCCAGGGGTCACTGCGGGGTCCCTGTTAGAAGGAGGGGTGCCCATAGGCCCGGCAGCCTCTAACAGAGAACAGGGGCATAAAGTGCCAACCCATGACTTCTCGCTGCAGCGGCTGAGCCAGCACAAAATGGTACAGAGAACTCGCTCTTCCCCTGCTGGAGATGCGAGGGCAGTGAGAACGGGCGTACCAGGAGATCACTGGCCAGATGCAAGCTACCTATGTGCTGCTGGGACAACTGTCCGTGTGGAAGAGCCGCGTGGCACAAGAATGTTCACACGTTAGGATTAGCTTGGAGAAAAGCCAAAACCTCCAAGGCCCGCTATTTATGTGCACACTTACAAGGCTGCCCAACAGATGAAAACAATGTGAAACATACACGTTTTACAAGTGGCCTCCTCCGCGGACTGAGAGGAGGCAGTGGCACAGGTGCTTGACTTTCTTGTCTGGCTTTACTTTGCAGAAGAAAAAAAAAACTTTTAAAAATAAGTGAACAGTTAGTTCACCAACATTCTCACATGAGAATTCTAAAGAAGAGACGCCTCACTGACAAGTATGCAGAGTGAGGCTAACCCTGTTGCACAGTTCATTAAGCTACTTCCCTTCTGATCTAGCCACCTGCTAACGTGCCTGGGAAAGCAGATGTCCAAAGATTTGGGAGCCCTGTCACCCACGTGGAAGACCTGGATGGAGTTCCAGCTTCCAGCCATCAGCTTGTCCCAGTCAGGGCTGCCACAGCCATTTGGAGAGTAAACCAATGGATGGAATCTGTTTCTTCCTTTCTCTCTGCTCTGGCTTTCAAGTAAATAAATCTTTAATACACACATATGCAACAAATCAAAATGATCTGTGCATTATATAGTATTAAAAAAATGCCTTTTGAATAACAATCCCATTGAAAGTGACCCATCTGATCAATACAACTGCACTATTTTCAATATGATGTTATACTCACGATCTTCTCGAAAATATGTTTGTAACAGTCCCAGGATTCTTTCCACTTCTTTTTCTGTTGCTTCTTGATGAGATTCTTCCATTCTTTTTAACTGAAAAGAGAAAAAAAAAAGGGGGGGGGAAGAAAATGTTTTTTATCAAGCTGACTGGCATACAACAAACACCCATTTCTTCTCTCATTGGCCCAAATTCCTCTGAATGTCTTGTGTTGGAGCCTGCTAGCAGTTGTTAGCCCCATCATAAACTTCACAGTTCAACACTACATTTCCTAACTTTAGCATCATTTTTCTGTGGAGAAGGGGCTTCAGAAAAGTCAAGGAAAATAGAATTAAAAGGCAAGCTAATTTTGGTGCAAGAAGAGTAAATTTTGAAATCCATGCACAGGATTCTTTTTTCATAAAACACCTTCCACAGTAACTGACGATCACTTGCACCACTTCTTAGCAGAAAAGTAACGTTACAAAATCAACCACCTCCAGGCTGGACATGAAACAACAAAACACAACCAGGGAAGTTTAGAGCAGTAGTTCTCAACTGGGAGGGATTCTGATTGCCCCTGCCCTGGAAGCATCCGCCTCAGTACCTGGAGACATTTTTGGTTGGTGGTTGGTACACCTGCAGGGGGAGGGTTGCTATTAGCAACCACATCCTTCAGCGCCTAGCACAGCTCCCCGCAGCAGAATTACCCAGCTGCAAATGTATGGTGCCGGGGTTGAGACACTCCGGTTTAGAAGAATTGGTAGAAAGTATAGAAGTGGGTTAAAAGCAAGCAATCCGTCCAATAAAATACTCCAAGCAACTGACACAATCCTGACCACAGGCGTCCAGGAGGCTCGAAAGACGGCCAAGGCCTGGTGTCAATGACTACTTCAAGAGTTTTTGAAAGTAATTTGAAGGAAACAAACCTCAGCAGGCATTGCTCTCTTTTCTTCTATCATCCGCACTTTCCTCACCCGATCGGCACGTGGCTTTGGCACAGGGCACTCTCCATATATTGAACCCAACCTAATGGAAAACATGCTTTCATGTCCTTTTTTGCTTTGTCTTTTAAAGAAACTAATTTCACTAACTAAACACAGTTGGCATGGGGTAGTTAGGTTCAGACCAGCCTGGGTACTGCGTGGGCCAACAGCGGACCTTCCTTCTTGGGAAGGCTTAGGATGCCCTTCCTAGTCCCTTAAGACTTCCAAAGAAACTCCCAGGAACTCTGCTCAAACACAAATGCATCCTCCAGTGTCTTCCTACTGCTCCTGCAACAAGTCTGTGTCAGTGCCCGTGACGTCTCCCTGGCTGGCCCAGTGTTTATCTGCAAGCCAGCTTCGAGATGAAGGAGAGAACAGGGCAGCTGCCGTGGGGTCAGAAGCCTTGCATCTAGAGTTGCCGGGGCAGAGGCGCACAGCCCAAGACTCGGAACACACCTGCCAGGCTAGCAGGCCAGGCAGAGGCCAAGGCTTCTAGATCTCTGTACCTTCTTCCCAGCAAAAAGCACACTATGGGCTCCAGTCCTAGCTGCAGCACGCAGACAGACCATGCTATATTTCTTATCCATACTGATAAAATATAAATGTATAGTATATTACATAAACATTGTATTATTTATATTTCCTCCTTACACTTGAACAGATGAAAGTATATGTGTGGCTGAGCTAATAGACGTGCACACACACACAAACCATCTCCCCATGATACGGTAGGTCGTGGAGTGCCACAACAGAGTGCACTCAAGTGCACTCAAGCGCCATGAGAGGAGTGGATAGGCACAGCAGTGACTTTGCTGGCAAACCTGATCCCAGAAGAAGGTCCCAGAAGCTTCTGAGTAGGGGCCGTCAGTATAAATAAACTTCACCAAATGGAAAAGGACATTGAACATGGGGTGAAAAGCGAGTATCTGGCACCCTGGGAGTACTCCAAGGTGGCTACAAGTAGGGCTGGCGGATAAGATAAGGCTTAAGATCCCAGGATACAGAATAGACCTTAATACTCAGCAGCAATATAACACAGATTTGGGCTTCGTCACCAAGAGGTTTGGACATCTTCCCACGGTCCTGACAGCGGTTCTTGGCACCTGAGTCACCTAAGGCTGATCCAGCAGGCGCCAGCCACACCCCACAGCCCTACCACCCAGAGTTCCCCAAGCGAGATGCCGCCCATCTCAGGGGTTTTACAGGGATAAATGCCCAGGAGCTAGATCGCTGAAGGACAAAGGACCGAAGGAAGGTTTGGGAACACTGTTATGTGTGAAGGCTGCTTCACAGAGGAACGACTAGGGGAGCTGTTTTTGGTTCCTCCAAGGGACCAAGTTAGAAGCTAAGGCAGAAGATTTCCTTTGACTAGAAAAACTTCTCTATGAGGTGTACCTAAAACAAAAAAAACAAAACACTGACATCACTGGATGACCCTGACGTGGTTAGATGGCCCTGACATCGCTGGATGGCCCCTAACATGACTAGATGGCCCTGACATCGCTGGATGGCCCCTAACATGACTAGATGGCCTTGACATCGCTGGATGGCCCCTAACATGACTAGATGGCCCTGACATCGCTGGATGGCCCCTAACATGACTAGATGGCCTTGACATCGCTGGATGGCCCCTAACATGACTAGATGGCCCTGACATCGCTGGATGGCCCCTAACATGACTAGATGGCCCTGACATCGCTGGATGGCCCCTAACATGACTAGATGGCCCTGACATCGCTGGATGGCCCCTAACATGACTAGATGGCCCTGACATCGCTGGATGGCCTTGGCAGGAGCATCCTGAGCCTCAAAGGACAAAATAAAGACAATGCAGTGGGATGCAGGATCCGTTAGCTTTCCACCCACAGCAGGGGTTTGTGGGCTTTTCCTTGCAGGAAGTTTGCAGGCAAAGGCCTAGGACAGTCCCCATGACACCGCCAACTCATCTCTGTCCCTACAAGAAACAACGGGAGCTTTACAAAGGGCTGGTCTGTCAGATTTTCAAAATAATCTTACAGAAAGTGGAATGTATGGGTTTTATTAAAGGTGTTTTCTGCTGTTTTGCCTGATATTTTCCAGGAGTCATAGACTATGAATTCAAAATCAGAACTATCTTCATCACGGATGAGTTCTTCAGCTTCTAGCGGATTAACACCCATGTGGGTCAGCTACAAAAATGAAGGGAAACAAACAAACAAACAAACAAAAAAACCCAGTTAAGCCACAAGAAATCTTTCACCATTCCATTCAGTCATCTGCATCACTAAACCTTTCACAGGCCCGAGGCAAAGGCTATTTATTTTCAGGGTCTAATTATGTTGGCCACATGTCTTGTAAAGGTCATTTCACACAACAATTCCTATTTTCCAAGGCTTTTCTTTGTACTTCTCTTTAGGTGGGACCAGTGCTTCTCAGCCAGGGTAATTCTGCCCCAGCGGCCCTGAAGGCATTTCACTGTCCCAGCTGACACACTACAGCATCCACTGGGGGGAGGCCACTCAACATCCTACCACGCACAGTAACAGACTGCCCCCACGCCCACCAAAGATACACCTAGCCCAGCATGTCTACAGGGCACAGGCCAGGCAACCCTGCACCAGCCAGGGCAGACGAGGGTGCAGGGATGCCACAACCGAGTCCCTCAGGAGATCACATTCCAGGTAGTCAGCTCGGTTCTCCCAGCACAAAAATACGAAAGCACATCCCAAATCCAACGCTCCAAGACAGAACCACAAAGCAGAGCTGCCTTTCGGATTTTGACGCTTGGCCACCCTTCCGGAGACGCCTAGGCAGCCTGTAGGTCAGTATGCTTCCAAGAGCGACTGCCCGTTTGAAACCTGCCTTCCAGGGTAGAACAGGTGGGAGCCAACAACTGTCTTATAGCAAACTATCTCACAGAAGCGCATTGTATTGAATTTACTTATATGAAAGGTCACATTTATTACATTATACCGTAAAGTGTCTAGAAGTCACCAAGCCACAACGGTCATATCCTATAGAAACCATAAACACGGGCCACAGGAGCTTACTCCTATGAACAAAGGAAGAGGCACAGAGTACACTCAGCCTGCTCTACCCTCGGGCCACCCAGTCCTACCAGGACACCCTGGTAGCAAGACATTGACTCAACCATTCACTTAGGGTTTTGTAATTAACATGTTAGGTCTCCCGGAATTTAGTCTTAACACACGAGTAAAAAGCTTGACCTCATAAACAGTCATTTCCTCTAAATTCCCAATACACGGCCCCTCTGTTTTGCTACAGGTGAACATCAGTGTGCATTTTCCCAAATATATTTCACAGTAAATTTTTAAGGTTTTAAAACCGATTGGAAATAATTCTCTGCTACATGTCTTTACAAAAGATCTGGTTAGATCTCTTGGAACTAAATCAGTTCAGTAACCACATAACACAAATACACAAATTCGGTGTTTGGTATGCTCTAACTTAAATAAATCATGCAAGCAGGAAAAAAAAAAAAAACAAAGGAAGGAAGGAAGAAATTAATTAATTAACTCAGCGTTTGATCCAAGGAGCTGGGTTGGAGGGCTGCAGGAGCAGGTGTATGGCATTAATGTCTGGGAAGCCCACATCCTAAGCAGAGTGCCCGAGTTCGAGTCTCAGCTCTGCCCTCAATTCTGGCTTCCTGCTCATGTGCAGCCTGAGAAACAGCTATCAAGTGACAGCTCAAGTTCCTAGGTCCCTGCCACCATGGGGGGCCTGGTACTGAGTTTTAGTCTTCTGGTATCTGAGCACACCCGCAGATGGAAGACACATCTCAGTCTGTGTTTCTTCATATATCTCCATCTGTCTTTCAAATAAATTGTTATTTTCCAAGCAAAACAAAATAGTAAGATAGAAAGTCAGTCTCGGTATGGACTTTTCATTAAATCCATCAGGTAAAAGTTAAAGAGAAAAAGATGAACAAAATAAAAAAAAATTTTTTTAATTAAAAAAAAAAGTGAAATCAGCCATACTTGTGTGGTTCCAAAATATTCTCAAAGACAGAACATCCCCTTTCTCCGGGCCTAACTCATCGGCAGCTTTGGCCCAGCTCAGGACAAATGTTCCAGGTCACTGAGAATGACCTAGAACACGTATGAACCAAGAAAGAGGCCATTTGTGGAGAACCACAGCAGCCAGAGGGTCTCCCACTGCTCCAAGCTCCCACCCTGAATCCCACTGCAGACTCTCCTTCCATCTTGAACCTGACCTCTCTTAGAAGGATCTGAGACCAGAGAAACAGGAGTGGCAGAGGCAGGGGAAACAAAGGGAAACCAGGAGATGATTGTCTCACAGGAGCCACCCTGAGGAAGGCTGAGCGGACGTGTGCTTACCAGAGTCTCCACGTAGCGTAACATATCGAAGGAGCTGAGCTCCGAGCGCAGCTGCTTGGCTTTCTCTTTGCCCAGATCCGAAGCCAGAACAAGAAAATGCGCGTCCAGAACTGCTTCCCTCGCTCGGGACACTGCCCAAAGATAGAAGGAAAACAGACATGTTACACAACACACATGCTTGTCTCTAAATTTCTCACTACTTTTTAGGATTCCCCACTGAACCTCCCACCCCCTCTCAAAAAGAGAAAAAAGGACCTTTCAACAGACTGAAGCGTGATCTAAGCTGGCTCCTTTGACCAATGCAAAAAATTCCCATTCCACACTGCTGGTCCACAAACTCCAACCTGTCACCTGGTTTTCACACCCCTGTCTCCGCCCATGAAAGAGGATGTGGCCAAAGGGGGTAAGAGTGGAAAACACCTGGGAAAGCCTCGGCAGGAAGGGGCTTCAGGGTGCCACAGAGAGCACAAACCCCCAGCGCCCAGCTGCCCCCAAACCACGTGGTCTGACTGCGCCAACAGCAGCAGCCTGGGCATGGCCAGAGAACCTGCCACCACTTACCGTCTGTGCCCACCACAGGTCATGTTGTCCTAAAGGGAAAGCCATTGGCCCCTCCAGGAGGGTCACAGGCAAAGTCACAATGGGCAGGAAGGAAAAGTGGACGCAGCTGCAGCGTCCGGGGGCTCCAGCAGGCCTTCCCGGGCCAACAGCCACACGGTGCTCATGACAGCCAGTCGGTGAAGACCGGCAGTCACCAGACCATGATGGCCCCCAAATCCACAAACACAAGTGGTCAGAATTGTGTTGGCTGAGCAACCCTACCAGAATAATTCCGCCTTCAATGTTTTACTTGGGAACTCTAGAAATGGCTGACGGTGGGAGGATGTGTGGACAAAGAGCTAAGCAGACACACTGCCAGGGCCAAGGCAGCCGGCGAGTCGGGAGTAACAGGAGGCGGCTCACTACAGGTCCAGGCTGCAGAGAAAAAAGCTCAGAGGGTGACGAGACGATGCCATGTGGGAGACCAGGACAGGAGGGCCGGGGGTCCTGGGCAGAGAGCAAGGCACAACCCAGGAAATGCAGGAAAGGCTACAAAGCAGACCCCCGTTAGGGCATGTGGCCCCTCCAGGAAGCTCCCAGAACACAGAGAATTGTGGGTGCCGCACATTTCAAGTGCTGCCCGCTCTCTGTCCACTCCTCCCTTCTGACTAGTATGCAGCTGGCAGGCCCACGGCAGGCAGTGTCCGGGGGTCCCGGCCAGAGCCCACAGCAGGAAATCCCACCTGTCCTGCCACTGACCGCAGATGCAGACCAGCAGGTGCCCCTGTTCTCAGGGGCTCCCCACTGAGGCGCGCGGGGCCAGCAGCTGAGCTCAGGGAGGGCAAGCGGGCAGGAGAACACACGTAACTTAGATCCCAGACTTCATCCAGCCATTCAGACTTGGCACAAACCAGACACACCCCCGAGTCTGTCCCAACGTCAGTAAGCACCCACCGGGGGGTGTATTTCACATAGAAGCTTGGTTTTATGCTTAACTGGTACCAGATACCCAACAAACACAATGTTACTGCCATCATGAATAAAGCACTCCCAAAGCCTCCCCATCCGAAACAGAGCTCTACTGTAAACAGAAGCGCAGTTTGACGTCAGTCACTTGGCCCTTACGGACCACAGATCACACAATTACCTTCGTTAAACAGCATGTTGGCCTCCTCCAGGACCTCTGTTAACTTGTCGCCGGCGCTCAGTATGTCCTCCCGGTTTTCTGTGCAAAAACAAAAACAAGAAAACATAGGCACGCGCACGCCTCCACTCCCCAGGAAGTGAGGACATCAGGACTCCGCCCCTGCGCCCCCTTCGTACACGCCAGCAGAGCAGCAGGCGCCCCCGAGGCTGAGGGGAGCCCACTCCCCGTAAGCATCACCCTCCGGACCGGTTCTCCAGCTCGCCTGCAGAAGCGGGTCTAGCGGACCCAGTTCTGGGGGTGCAGGGGCGCGCCAAGCAAAGGCGCGGCCTTCGCGCCCGGCCTGGGCCCCGCCGGCTGGCAGGTGAGCCCCGGCCCGGGTCTGGCTGCCTGCCCGCCGCTGCCCCGCCACGCGCGTCCCCCCAAAACCCGCCAAGGTCGTGCGGCGCCCGCCACAGCGCGGAAATGGGGGCGCGGGCTGAGCGGCGAGGCGCGGCCTGCCCACTCCTGCGCCTCGCCCCCAGGCCCAGCCGGCGCGTGGCGGGCACGGCCTTACGTTGGACCGAGTTGATGAGCGCCCGGTACTGGTGGCGGATCTGGCGGCACAGGCCCTGGTCCGCCTCGGCCTCCAAGGTGGCCGGGTCTATCATCTCGTCCCCGGAATCCGACGGCTCGGTATCCTCCAAGCTCGGGCGCTCCGGGGCCTCCCTGCGTTCGGACGCGGCGCCCCGGCGGGACCCGGGCGACAGCGGGGACCGCGAGCGGGAGCGGTTGCGGTCCCGGTCCCGATGTGGGTCACGGGCCCGGCCCCGGCCATCGGGCCGGCGGCCGCTGCTATCCCCGGACATCGCGCCAAAGCCGCCGTGCAACTTCGGAACGGCGGAAGTTCGCGCCAGAAACTGAAAGCCAGGTTGGGCGCGAGCGCTGCTCGGCTTCCCCGCCTGCGCGCGAGCGACAGCGACGCCAGTGGCTGGAGGCCGGCGACGGGGCGTCCCCGAGCTGCCCTCCGCCGCGCGGACACCTGCGACCCGCTCCCTCCCGGACCGGCGCCCCGCCTGCGGCCTCGGTCTCCCCGAGGGGTCGCGAGGTGGGCGAGGGCTCCCCGGGGACGGGTGGCATCCGGCCACACCACTTCCAGGGCAGAAGGGACCGCGCTAAATAGTCACAAAACAGACCATCTCTCCCGTGTCTCAGGAAAGTCCCCGGTGCAGGTTGGGAGGCCCTGCTTCCTTTATGGATGACGGTTAAATCCCAGTTCACTTCCCATCCAGCCCTCAGCTGCTGCACCTGGGAAAGCAGAAATAAGCTGCCCAGGTGGGACACTCAGCGGAGTTTCAGGTTCCTGGCTTCTGTAGCCAACAGGGGGTGGAATCCGGATTCCTTCATTCTCTCTCTCTCTCTCTCTTTCTCTTCTGCCTTTTAAATAAAACAAGTCTTTCTAAAAAAAAAAATCCTCAAGACATCACAGGCTTCTATCCACAGTACGTTCGAACATAAAGGTGAGTTCTGTCCCACGTGTTTGGGGTTGTATTCCAGGAATACAGATTCTGCGATAACTGACAGCCCATCCTGTAAGCAAGGTGTTGTTGAGTAATGGACAGGTACAGTGTGCACTCTGGTACACCAGGCAAAGGGGTACTTTACACCTCGGGTGGGACAGGGCGGCTTACTCAGAGTACGGCACAGCTTCAGACACAGGCGTTGTTTATTTCGGCAGTTGTCCATTATAATTCTTTGAACTACAATTGACCTCAAGAAATCTAAACTGTGGGGCTTAGCGTGACAGTTTAATGGCTGGGTCCTTACCTTGAAAGCACCAGGATCCCATGTGGGCGCCCGTTCGTGTTGCAGCAGCTCCCCTTGCCATCCAGCTCCCTGCTTGTGGCCTGGGAAAGCAGTCGACGGCCCAGAGCCTTGAGGCCCTGCACCTGCGTGGGAGACCTGGAAGAGGCTCCTGGCTTCAGCTGTTGCAGCCATTTGGGAAGTGAACCAGCAGATGGAAGCTCTTTCTCCCTATCTCTCCTTCTCTCTGTAAATTTACTTATCCAATAAAAAATAGTGAAGCTTAAAAAATAAGCTGGAAGGCAAAACCATGGGTGAGGAGTTCAGTGTAGCTGTGCTATAGAATTCTTACGGAAAACACAGATGTTACTCTTTGTTGACATCTTGTCAGATGTTGATCTCTTAGATACGGCACCAAAAGCAAACAAAGGAAAAAGTCAACTGGAGACCGGGGAGCTGGGTGTGTTCAAACTACCGGGTCTGGCCACTGGGGGCGCACTCCGAGCGCCTGCGCTGTGCCAACGGGTTGCCTTTCCTTCTCGAAGTGTTTCCTCTCACATTGCCAAGAGGCTCCTCCCGGCTCCGGCTTTGCTCGCCTCAGCTCTGGAGTCAGTCAGGTATTTTGTGCCAATACTTCTCATTTCAGTCCAGCATCTCTGGATTCACCCTCTCGCACACATACACGTACCCCGTGATGGTTAATTTGTATTGTCAGTGCTTGATATTTTAATGCCAACTGGAGTGGACTTAGGGGTAATCAGAGTTCAACGGCACATTACTTCTGGGTGTGTCTGTGAGGATGTTTCTAGAAGAGATTTGCATTTGATTCAGTAGACTAAAGAACTGCCCTCATGAATACAGAAATATTTCACCCAAAAATACAAAAGTAAAAATGTTTTTCTTAAAAACAGAAAAGTTTCCAGCCCGGCGCCAGAGCCTAGCGGCTAAAGTACTCGCCTTGCACGCACCAGGATCCCATGTGGGCACCGGTTTGTGTTCCGGTGGCCCCATTTCCCATCGAGCTCCCTGCTTCTAGCCTGGAAAAACAGGGACAGCCCAGAGCCTCGGGACCCTGCGCCCACGTGGGAGACCCAGATGAGGCTCCTGGCTCTTGGCTTTGGATCAGCACAGCTCTGGCCGTTGCGGCCGCTTGGGGAGTGAATCAACAGATGGAAGGTCTTCCTCTGGCTCTCTTCCTCTCTGTATATCTGACTTTCCAATAAAAATTTAATACGTAAATAAATACAGCTTTAAAATAAATAATTAATTTTTTTAACGTTCTCATGAGGCCCGCTGCTCCCAAAGGAGAATCCTTCTGCCCTTCTCGTGCAGGCCCTGCCCTTGGCCCTCAGAGCTCTGATTACAGACCTCACACCGGCACTGCCAGACCAGAGCCGTCCTGCAGCTCCTTGCCGGCGTGCACACATCCAGCAGAACTGACGCCCCTGGTAAGAAATGCTTACCAACCGTGACAGGACCTGGGCTTTGATCAAAACAAGCCGTGAAGGTTCCATAGAGATGCACCCCGGCCTTCCCAGCTAATGTATCATGCTATCTTAGTTCCTTAGAGATGATGAGGTAAAGACGGGTAGATACAACTAGATCTCGAGCCCCCGCCCCATGGCTTTGGTCTTTTTCTGTCAGTCCCTCCTATCGAATTGTTCAGAGATTCTTTTTTTTGCTTAAAAAAAATTTCGCTTTTTCTTCTGTTCTCTTGGTTGTATGTTATATTCGGTCTTGAGCATCGTCGACACCAGGACTCGGACCTGGCTTCACCCCAGCAGTGGTCCTGCCCCTCTACCAGCTCACCAGTTCCCAGGCCTTTGGTCTTGACCTGGGAGTCACACTGCTGGCTCCACTGCTGATCAGACGTTGGACTTGAACTGGGCCACATCTCCAGCTTGCAGGTCACTTACTGTGAGCTTCTCATCCTCCATGGTTGTAAGCCAAGTCCATTCTAAATCTCTCACAAATGTGTGTGTGTGTTATCGCTTCTGTGTCTCTGGGTGCTGAGGGATGCCTTCTCAGTTCCTTCTCAGCAGTGACATCTCCTGAGCCTGCCTTCTCATTTGTCTCTGGCCTCGCTACCCATGTATTTGACCCTCTGGCTTGCATGCTGTTAACGAATGGGCTTCCCCCAACCTCCTGCACGGAGTGTTAACCAAGCTTGGCAATAGCCTTATCATTTCTGTTTCTTTCCCGTCTCTGACACCTGACCTGTCGAGGCTGCATCTCCAATGCTGTTCACCAGTAGAAGTCATAGCAGTGACGTGGTGACGTTGTCTGCGTGCCACCTGCCAGCAGGGATGATGTCCAGCCGGCAAGTGATCCCGCTGCAGCATCCCATCTCCCTCATTGCCAGGACTAACCATCACAGATTGGTTGTCCTCTCCAGGAAGCAGACTGGGAAACTGATGGGCATGCAGGAGTTTTGTGACAGCAGATGAGCTGTCAGCCAAGCCTAAGTTTCCTGCCAGCCCCATGAGCGAGCTGCCGTGGGCTCCCAGGCCACTGGGTCTGGGATGACTTACTTCTCATTATTGTCCAATTGTCCAATTGTCCAATTGTAGCCACCCAGGAGCTCTGTCTCCCCACCCAGTGGAAGATGCCTTCTTGAGCTCGGCCAACCTACAATACTGCAAGAGATTGTCCTTATTCCATTAGCTCCTACCAGCCCCTTTCCATCTGGAGGCTCACCTGTTCCAACTTTGAGAAATTTTTCTTCTATTACTTCTCTAAAACTTTCTTCCTTCCAGTTGTCTATTTCATGTCTGTAGCCTCTGTTCATCAGATGGGACACTTCAAAGAATAGACCTTCAAAGCCTCGAAGAGTATTTTGGTACTTGCAATCTTTCTTTAGTTCTGTTTTCTGTGGTCATTTATTACACTTGCCTTCAGTTTTAGGGTTTGCAGAACGTTTTCTTGGTTTTGCGTGGCAGTAGCCATGGGTGGGGGTGAGACATGGCAGGGAAAGGCTTAGGCTCCACGACACCATTTCACACGCTCAGCCCCGAGTTCTCCTCCCTCCATTGCACCTGTTTCAAACCATCTCCTAAGGTGGGTGGGAATGTGCAAGGAGGCTCTTTGGTGAAGGTCACAGGGCCCGGTCCTGGCAGTCTGAAAGGTCTACAAGCTTCAGGATTTTCAGAGCCATGGGCTCCACAAACCTTTAGATGACCCGTCTGTATCCAGTTCCCTCAGGCCTGGGGCTTCAGGTCCAGCGTTCCAATACCCAGGCCCCCCGGGGCCCCTCGCGCTGCAGCTCAGCGTTCAAGCTCTGCCTCCCTGACTCCTCAGTTGCCCAGACCTGCCCCGCCATCCGTTATCCACCAACATGGGGAAATTGCCAGTCAGCTGACACGCCCTCTTCAGTTTGTTACATGATTTTTTAAAAAAGATTTATTTATTTATTTTTATTACAAAGTCAGAGAGACAGAGAGGAAGATCTTCTGTCAGATGATTCACTCTCCAAGTGACCGCAACGGCCGGTGCTGCGCCGATCCGAAGCCGGGAACCAGGAACTTCTTCCGGGTATCTCGCATGGGTGCAGGGTCCCGAGGCTTTGGGCCATCCTCAACTGCTTTCCTAGGCCACAAGCAGGGAGCTGGATGGGAAGTGGAGCTGCTGGGATTAGAACCGGCGCCCATATGCGATCCCGGCACATTCAAGGCGAGGACTTTAGCCGCTAGGCCATGCCGCCGGACCTGTTACATGATTTTTAAGACAAAACGTTTTCCCCAAAAAAGTCCCTTTACCTGACAAACGTTTGGTGTAGTTGGTTAAGACTTTCATGTCAGAGTGCCTGGGTTCTAGTCCTGACTGCCACATGTGTGAGTCTTGCCCATGTGTACCCTGGGCAGTGCCCAGTGGCAGCTCAGGTACTTGAGTTCCTGCCATCCGTGGGGGAGACCCAGATGGAGGTTCAGCTTCTGGCCTTGACCTGGTCCAGCCCTGGCTGTTAGAGGCATTTGAGGAGTCAACCAACAAACAACAACTCTCTCCATCAAACAGACATTTTAAAAGAAGTGTTTAGGGACCTGGTGCGATAGCCTGGTGGCTAAAGTCCTTGTCTTGCGTGTCCAGGATCCCATATGAGCACCAGTTCATGTCCAGGCTGCTCCACTTTCCATCCAGCTCCCTGCTTGTGGACTATGAAGGCAGTGCAGGATGGACCAAAGCTTTGGGACTGCAATGCGTGGGGAGGCCCAGAGAAAACTCCTGGCTCCTGGCTTATGATCAGCTCAGCTCCAACCATTGCAGCCACTTGGGGAGTGAACCAGTGGATCAAAGATCTTGCTCTTTGTAAATATGACTTTCCAGTAAAAATAAATAAATCTTTTTTTTTTTTTATTAAAAAAGAAATTTTTACAGTTTCTGTTGCCATCATTTTATTAAAGTCACTTGAAGGAAAGAGCGTAAGCTTGCACACTCAGTAGTAATAATTTTTTTCACTGTGTGTGAAGACAAAGATCTCTAAACATTATATTTTGTTTTATAAATCCACCTCTTCAGTGTGGCACCAGATATCACTTTGCATGCGTTCTCTTCCAAGAACTTTTGAATAATCAGCAGTTCTAAGCTTTTCCTGGGAAGTAACATATGTGTTATCCAACATATGGCAGTGATTTTCAGCAGGCTGTGCTTTTGTGCCTCTTAATTCGGTGAATGTGAGGTAATATGAGCACTTTTTGCAGTCAGTGAGACTGGAACTGGTTCTGCAGCACAGCAGACAGAGCCACAGCCTGTGACCCCAGCGTCCCGTATGGACACTGCTTCAAGTTAGGGTTCATCTAGTTCCGATCCAGCTCCCTGCGAATACACCTGGGCAGCAGATGGCCCAGGTGCTTGAAACCCTGCCATCCGCATGGCAGACCCAGGGAGAGCACCTTAAGGCCTTAAGGCCCATCAATGGAAAGATCTGCACTTACACAGTTGCCCTGTGGGGGCGCTGCTCCGCCAGGGAAAAAGATTGTCACCACCGGAAGGAAAAAAGAACCACGCAGCATCTGCAGGTGCTGGGAGTTCGGTTGTTGGTTTCTGAGTGTAATTGAAAAACTCAAGACAATTTTTGCCCAAGTATTGCAAGTGAGCGGACTGAAAAAATGTCCTGGGTTAGCAAATTGGGAACGGAAATTAGATGTGCAAGTCTTGTAGGCAGCCCTGGATGAGAGCAGTGTGCACAGACTGGAGGAATGCTGAGAAGACAGGCGCACAACAACACCACGGCAAAACATGCACACGCTGCCTGCCGCTGCGGGCCCTCCACCGCGTGCTGCCCTGGGCGGAACGCTCGAACGCTCACTTACACTCTCTGCTCCTCGGCAGGCGTGGTTGCCCGGGCCGCTCTCCTCTGGAATGGAGATTTTCCATTTGCAGAAGGTTTTATGCAAGTCACCTTGTCTGCCTCCTGGGTCCAGGAGGAAGTTGGCCAGGGTCATGGCACTGCATATCTGGAGACACAGAGGGACATAGCATTTGACAATAGATCTAAACCATTGCCAGAAAGGAGATGGATCCAGAATAAAAATCCAGGAAAGCTCTGTCTTTGCCATTATGATGCTTTGGTTATTTAAAAACTTTCTCTTCTTAACGTAGACAATTCCATCAAAACTTAAGGCGTGTGGGGAAACTCATTTGTTTGGGTCAACCAAATCCAGCATTCTGAATAGTAGATTCATTTTTAAAATAAATTTATTTATTTAAAATGCAGAATTACAGAGCGCAAGAGCGAAAGACACACACACACACTGAGAGAGAAATCTTTCATTTACTGGTTCATTCCCAAATGGCTGCAACAGTTGAGACCGGGCCAGGCCAAAACCTGGAGCCAGGAGCTCCATCTGGGTCCCCCAGGTGGATGCAGGGGTCCAAGCTGTTGAACCATCTTCAGCTGCCTTCCCAGGCACACTCATGGACTAGAAGTTGACATGCAGGATATGAAGCAGTGCCCACATGGGATGCCAGCCTTGAAGACCATGGCTTATTTCACTGTGCCACAATGCCAGCCGTGGTGGAATTTTTTTTTTTTTTTTGGTTTGCTGAGTAGTATGTGAATTTTATTTTTATTTTGACAGGCAAAGGGATGAAGACCTAGAGCTCCTGTCCCTTGGTTCACTCTCTAAACCAGGCCTTGGAACTAAACCCACATTTCCCACAAGGGAGGCTGGGACCCACCCATGTGAGCCACCATCTACTGCCTCCCACAGTACACCTTAGCAAGGAGCTGAAGCTGGGTGCAGAGCCAATGTTTGAAACTGGGCACTCTGAAATGGAGGTGGGAGTTCCAACCACCAGCTTAACTTCTCAGCCAAACACCCACCTTGAAGAGTAAAACGATTTTTAACATGGAATATTTCAAAACAAAATCCGTAGACTAGAAAAAAAAGTCGTGACAAGAGACAACTCCCGGTTCCCTGTTCCCCAGGCCAGCTGCCGTTAGGAGCTTCCTGCGTGACTCACCAGCGCCTTTTCTATATTGTAAGAGAACATTCTAGATACCCTATAGCATAATAGAGCATAAAGACTATTTGTTGTGCTTAGATCCTGGCCTTGATATCCTGGTGCTATGTGACAGCAGTATATGAATATGCAATTATGTCCTCCTTTCTTTCCCACACGAAAGGAAGGGGGACACACACTGTTGTACCCTGTAATCTTCCCTGCTCCGTGTGTGTCTTTGGGGAGTTTCCCATGTTGGTTCCTGAGGAGCTTTCACCTCTTTCTCAGTTGCTGCCTTTCTGTCCCGTGATTGCGTCTCTACTTTAGGTAGTCTGCCATTGAGCTGTGGTCTACCTGTCCATTCTCTCCTTCTCAAGGGAACATACTTTCAAGTTTGACTCCAAAACTCATGCAAAATATTCCAGGTAAACGAGTTTAATCCTCATCTTCCTCTTCATCATCTTGATTGATCTGAAAGTATCGTAATTCACAACTCTCTTTGCCGTTTGCAGCTATACAAAACCAATCACGTAGATCATTATTCTTCAAATAATTTTTGGTGGGATACTTCAAATATGTTCTGGAAAAAGACACCTCAGAAGTCACATGGTCTTATACTTGCTTCATTTGATGCTCTTGATCCCTCCACCGAGATTCCTGGCTTTCCCATTTACCTTAACTCTACCCTGGAGAAACTGCTCAAAATTGGCAGTGTCCATGGTGCCATCTTCTGTGGGGTGGGTGCAGTCCAGGGTGAGCCTGCTCCTCCTCATCCTTCTTCTTTTGCCTCCATTAACCACAAGCTTTTTAATAGGAACCAGGGCAACAGCAGAGGCAAAACAACAACAACAACAACAAAAGGCTTTCATTTTTATTTCATTTTTATTTACTTAAAAGGCAAAGTAACAGAGAAAGGGAGAGGGAGAGTGAGAAAGAGATCTCCCGTCCACTTGTTCACTTCCCAAATGGCAGGTGTCCCCCATGGGTGACAGGGACCCCACACTGGGGCCACCTTTCACTGCTGTCCCAGGCGCATGAGCCAGGGAGCCGGACCGAAAGAGAACCAGCCAGGACTCAAACCTGCAGCAAGGGAGCATACTGGCATTTTCCAAGAGGACAGCCTGATAGTGTGAGCTCAGCCGAAGCTGACGCGGACCTGTTCCCTTTACTGGAAGCACTTCTGATGTTATTACTTTTTTATTTTCTTAAAACTATTTGGCTTTGCAAGGTGGTTGGTCTCAGACAAAATACAGAACTTCTCCAAGAAAATGAAGCTGCAGGGGGCACAGGCTGTGGATCCCAGATCGACTTAGAGTGAGAAGGCGCGAGCTGGAGACCGGTGGTACCTCCTGTCCTCCTCCCCCTCGGGCAGAGCTTTCTGGAGAGCTCTGGGTCGTGCTGCTCACACACTGCCACTTGCAGGCCGCGCTCCCAGCCTGGAGCCAGCACACATTTATAGCACCCCTGCATGTGATCCTGGGATCACAGTACCCAGGCTGCGCTGGAAGGGGGCAGCTCGGGAGGAGAGGGCCTTGCCTGCCCGCTAAGAGGTGAGTCAGTCTTGAATCACGGACTTCGTTCCTCTGAGCAAGGTGCGGTTTCAAACTGAGTTGGCTGCTGAGATGAGAGGGGTAAGTACGTTTTCTTTCTTGCATGCCTTTTCCTTAGCAAGTGAAATTAAAGGCACGTCTGCTCTTCCCTTGCCTCTCCACGTCCACCCCACCCCACCCCACACACTCCTAAGCCAAACGCCGTTCTTTTTCTTTCCAACATGTTACTAGCGAGTGCTAGTAGCGTATCCCAAACCATTACCCACCACCCCCCGAACCCTGGCACAGTCTGCAAAACAAACAGTTGGCCAGCTGTGTCCTACATAATGTCTTCTGTCCTCTGGCACGATTCTGCCTGTGGCCCGTGGCGTTTTCCAGTGTTTTGTGATCTAGAGTGGAAGGGTGGTTGGAGAGAGAGCCGAAGGCTTTATTGAGAGAGCTCAGAACTGTGCTGGCTTTGACAGGCTTGCCCAGGCCATGTTGATCCAGGCTCTCATAAGTCCCTTTGCAGACCTGTCTCTGATACTGCAGTCCCTAGCTTGAACAGCCCCAGGATCGCAGCAAACACTGTTTTAAGTTTCGACTTGGTGGCTGCCGTAAATGAATTGTCAGGTAGCGGCTGAAATGAGGTCGATTTCTAAGCCTCATGAGAGAATCGGGCAGTTCAGGGACCACTGTAGCAAGAGCGTGTGTACGGGTGCGTGCACACACTGTTTTATACTGTATTCCATAAAACAGAAATGCTCAGGCTGACCTCATTTATACCACCGACACCATCTATAAAGATACTGTGTACACTGCACGTGTGCATAGGAGCCAAAACTCCTCCCAAGTCGGCCCGCGTCCTTAGCGTGGATCCTTGGGGTGGGTGCGGACAGTTCTCCTGGTCTCAGGTTTGAATTCCCGGCTGCTTCCTTGGCTTGCTGCTGCACACTGGCCGTGCCAGGAGGGCTGGGGGAGGCTTTGTCGGTGTGGTACCTAGTCTGTATGGGTTGGCTCAGTGGCTGTTCCAGCTGCTTATCTCAGGGTACCTGGGATAAGCCACAGGTTCCTTTACAGAATCACACTTGTCACCAGCAGGGGATCAGCCACCTGCTTCTGCAGTCCCTGTGGTGGGTAGATCAGCCTTTGGTCCAGACAGAGAAAGCGGTGAGGAAGGGAGCGGTGAAAGGGGTATGGGGAAGGTGGGCTGACGGAGCAGCAAGAGGGCTGAGCAGAGGTGAACATTTCAGAGAATCAGTCTTCCTTCACTCAACTCAGCAAGTGCTGAGAGACCGCAAGTCCTTAGCAGACCAGGCATGGGACTGTGGGTGCTGGGGCCCACCATGCTGAGCTCAGCCCTGCCTCAGGCAGCGCTGGGATCCTTGGAAAAGACAGCTATGAAAGAAACAACCCCTGTGAGACATGCAGTTCCTGCCTTTGACCGCTCCCGCTCCCTGCCCCAGGGCCAGGGAGCCAATGGACTCTCTGAAGGGAACCGAGTCTCCCCCACAGCTTCACTGCGAGGTGGCGGGGAAGGACGGTGGCTGGCAGCACGTCATGAGACAATCACAGGTGGGACGCAGTGTGAGGAGGAAGGAAGTGGCAGGTGCTGCAGAGATGTTAAGGACGGGTGACATCGGAGACAAGGCCAGAGTCTGAGGGTCCTGGGCAACTTAAGAGTGTGCTGTCCATCACGTTCTGCTTGGTGGGAGGAGCCTGGGACTTGCTCTCAGGGTGGGGGGGCACATTTACTGAGCAGGCAGCTACTCTGGGCTTCAGTGGCTTTTTTTACCCCACCTGTTAAGGGGCCTCCAGCTTCAGCCTGGTTCACGATGGACCCATCTGCTCTGCTGGGTCCCAATACTGATCCCCTCCCCTCTGTGTGCCCAGGGACAGGTTTCTCTGCTCCCGACCCTAACCCCCTACCTTCTCACCTGGTCACCAGTGGTCACCAGTGGTCACCGGTGGTAACCAGTGGACACACAGGGAGGCTAGCTCCCCATCAAACATCAAGTCAGAAAATCTGATTGGCTCTTCTCAACTCTACCTGGAGTTCTGTTAGCAGGGTCCAGGAGGTGGGTTGGTACAGTGGACCAGCGTCACTCAAGGCTGGGGAACTTGGAGCCAAGAAAAAAGGGAGACCTCCCACATTGCTGCTTCCGGGTTGCAGGGGCAGCTAATCGCAGCAGCACACCAGGGTGTGTGTTTCATGGCTAGGGACATGCTGGAGACACTTGACAGCATCAGGTGCCTCTCGGGAAGGGAAAGAGAACCAGGGCAGAGAGAGTCACCCCAAATGTTGGGTCCTGGCTGGAGGGAGCCAGCCCCCTCAGCAGGTGCCCCTGACCCGCTGCTCACACTCCCAAGGAAGCCATAAGCCCGGCCGAGGGATGTCCATTTTTGCACTGCAGGATCCATTGCAAACTCCAAGGCAAAAGGCTCAGGAATCAAGATCTCAGCTGGTGAGAGAGACTGCCAGGAGGGGCACTGCAACACTGTGCTTTGTGGGTTTGTCTGTTGTTGGTGGGTGACCGGACAACCCACCATGACCTTGGCTCTGGGGTTCTTTCAACTGTGTCGGCAGAGGTGACTATCACGTATTTTTGGAATCCAGGCTGGCAGAGCCAAATGTCTTCTGCTGCAATCTTGAAATGCCGGTGGGCAGCAGGAGGAAGTCAGGGTCGTTGCCACCTGCCAATGTTTCCTAAATGTTGATGCTTAACATAGACAGGGGTGGTGGAGACACAGAAATGAGTGAGTGCTCTGAGCTTGTGACCTAAAAAGGGGAAATTCTGCTGCACTCACCAGTCGGGGAGCAGCTTCGGCAGAGCTCAGTGCCAGAACCCATGCCAAAGAATTGTGAAGAGATTAAGCCCCAGCGACTCTGGCTGAGGTTGTGCAAGCAATGAGAACCGACTCGATGCAGCCAAGCTGTTTGCGTCTGGGTCAAGTTCTCGGATGACTAATATTGGTTGTGAACCAGTATTTTGGGGTTCCAGAGAAATGTTCCGGCTCCTCCAAGCCCTGACCCTGCTCAGAATAGCTGCCTTTGAGCCTTGTGGAATCCTGAGCTGTGAAACTCAGACTGTAAAAGGTGTATTTCTTTCTTGTTAGGGTCATTTACACGTGGAAGGGTCTAAGGAGGTTAGATCACGTGAAACTAGACTGGTCATTTTGAAATGCAGTCAAAACTTTTATTTCCAAGGGATGCAATTTTGCAGATGAAACACATGGTTTATATTCACCTTTGGTCGTTCAGGGAAATCACTGCTATAATTGCTGTTGTTGAAAATGGCAACGAGATTGAAGGTAGGCAGTGACAAATTGGCTTTGTGTCTGTCTTGTGTTTCATAGCAAACGGATGACACAAACAACCCGAATCTGGTCACAAGATCCTTGGCTCATGTCTTCCGGTTCTTGGAAGAGCACTGGTGATGGTATTTTGGTTGGCTTTGCCTGCCTGGTGATTTTGGGTGTGTCTCTCGCTCACCGATGGCAGATCGCAGGCATGGGGAATGTCATACATTGTCCTTCAGGAGATTCTCATTGAGGCTGCTCTCAGGCCCGAGTTCTGGGAGCCAGGGTTAGGAGGGTGAGCTGGGACCTGGGAAGCCACACTTAGGCTCAAGGCTGTTAGGAAGTACAGGATCCCAAGTGAAAGTGCAAACAGTGAAAATCAATTGAGAAAATGTGAATCATAAGTGGGCTGGTTTGCTAATCTGAATCTCTGGTTACTTGTTTTGTTGCCTGCTTAGGGATGATTGACCTGAGTCCACAACCCACCACGGTTGGGATGGGGACTGGTTTGGCCAGGGTTTCCCCCAGGTTGCAGGGGACCCTGGTTAGCTATGAGGGGGAAGCATGTCTTTCCTTCTCTTCATATCTCACTATGGAGTTTGCAAGCACGCTCAATGACAGAATTGTACAAGCATGCCTGGCACCGGTTGCCACAATTATTCACACGTGCCAAATCTTCCCTTATGAAATGTCCTGTACTTCCCACTAACATTGGCCCCTTTCCTCCCATGTCTCGAATGTTTTCAAGCAAATAATTTCCTCATTCAGTCAGTAACCGTGAAGATAGAAAGTTCTTGTATGTGCATAGTCACTGCCATGATTCCTTAACATTAAAAATCCTATCAACACTCAAATACACTGATTTCTGTTTTTTATAGACAGTTGACTTATTTAAATCTACACCTAGGGGCTGGTGCAATGCCTCAACTGGCTAATTCTGCGCCTTGCAGCCTGATATCCCACATGGACACTGGTTCGTGTTCAGT